ATTCAAGAACCAACGACTCTGATTTTTCATTAGGAGTGAACCTATTTCTGATCTTCTTGTGCTTTCCTTCTTCCGATCGCGCAGGTGCTGGAGAACTACCTGTTCCCGGTTGCTTGGTACACCTATACTCTTCAGGGGCTTGGGGTTTGAGTGCAAGAGTTTCTTCGGGCCGTGGCAGTAGGAGCTCTGGTCTGCAGAGTCTCAAGGCTTGGGGCCCTGTGTTCTTTATAACTTCCCTAAACCTTAAGCCCACAGCCACCTCCCTATATAACTTTTCTGAGCCGCAAACACCAAAGAAGGGATGCAGGCTAACTTCCGGATGTCCCCAATGTCAAAAGTCTCAGAATGAACGTGCCTCGAGGATGACTCAGCTCACCACGACTCGTATCTGTGGCGTGGCGGCATGGCAGAGCATCAACGAGCAGCCTGCTGATGGTAGAACCCAGAGACTCCAAAACCCCTTAATTAAGGATTATACCTTAAATTATAACAGGATCCCTATTATAATTTAAGGTATATTCCTTAATTAAGGGGTTTTGGAGGCTGATGGTAGAATGGTTGAAGCCCTCACCCCGAAACCCTGAACCGCCTGGAGCCTCTCCTGGACACGTGGCCTTAAAACTTAGATTCCAAGTTGTGCAACCTTGGACCCAAACCCTAAACCTAAACCCTAAACCCTAAACCCTAAACTGAGGCGAGGCGCTTCGAGTGATACAGTCGCCGAGCCGCAGCGAAGCACTCCCGGTGCGCAGCGGGCCCGGAGCAACGAGCGCAAGCGCGCAGGGCCTTGGGCGAAACACAGCCCACGCGACTGGCCGTAGGGAGCTGCGCACGAGCCCGTATGCGATGTGCGCAATAAGAAGATCACCCTAAACCCGAAACCAAGACGGAGCATCCCTGCATCGGCCCTCGCCAAGACGGAGGGTCCCTGCTCCTGTCTTTTCGCGTGGCAGCTCTAAGGCGATCCCAAACTCCACAAATGAAAAAATGGACCCTCGAATGCTCGTAAACGGCCCTGGCCAAGGCAGACAGTCCCTACTCCTTTCTTTTCGTGTGGCGGCTCCAAAGCGGTCCCAAACTCCAAACTCTGTCCCTCGGAGCCCGGATCAAAAAATGGACCCTCGAGTGCTCGTGTGTGCCCAAGCTGGTCGGGGCCGCATTCTGCAGCAAAACAGGGCCGTTCTTTTCGTGTGCCTGCTCTAAACCATCCGGGGTCCATGTGTGCCCAAAGGGGTCAAGGCCACATTCTGCAGCAAAACAGGGCCGTTCTGTTCGTGTGGCTAGTCTAAACTCTGCTCCGCCTTCGGGAAATCCGGAAAACTACAGCTGATTCTGGCGTACCAAATTCTTTTCGTAAAATGTGCATTTTAGGGTAAGCCACGTGCCAATCTCGAGGTCCCCTCCTTTCTTTTCGTGTGGCTGCTCTTAGCCGCTTTCGCAATGCCTAAACTCTGTCCCTCGGAGCCCGGATCAAAAAATGGACCCTCGAGTGCTCGTGTGTGCCCAAGCTGGTCGGGGCCGCATTCTGCAGCAAAACAGGGCCGTTCTTTTCGTGTGCCTGCTCTAAACCATCCGGGGTCCATGCGTGCCCAAAGGGGTCAAAGCCACACTCTGCAGCAAAACAGGGCCGTTCTGTTCGTGTGGCTAGTCTAAACTCTGCTCCGCCTTCGGGAAATCCGGAAAACTACAGCTGATTTTGGCGTACCAAATTCTTTTCGTAAAATGTGCATTTTAGGGTGGGCCACGTGCCAATCTCGAGGTCCCCTCCTTTCTTTTCGTGTGGCTGCTCTTAGCCGCTTTCGCAATGCCTAAACTCTGTCCCTCGGAGCCCGGATCAAAAAATGGACCCTCGAGTGCTCGTGTGTGCCCAAGCTGGTCGGGGCCGCATTCTGCAGCAAAACAGGGCCGTTCTTTTCGTGTGCCTGCTCTAAACCATCCGGGGTCCATGTGTGCCCAAAGGGGTCAAAGCCACACTCTGCAGCAAAACAGGGCCGTTCTGTTCGTGTGGCTAGTCTAAACTCTGCTCTGCCTTCGGGAAATCCGGAAAACTACAGCTGATTTTGGCGTACCAAATTCTTTTCGTAAAATGTGCATTCTAGGGTGGGCCACGTGCCAATCTCGAGGTCCCCTCCTTTCTTTTCGTGTGGCTGCTCTTAGCCGCTTTCCCAATGCCTAAACTGTCCCTCGGAGCCCGGATCAAAAAATGGGGCGTCGAGTGCTCGTGTGTGCCCAAGCTGGTCGGGGCCGCGTTCTGCAGCAAAATAGGGCCGTTCTTTTCGTGTGCCTGCTCCAAAACCATCCGAGATTCATGTCTGCCCAAGGCCGTCAAAGCAACATTCTGCAGCAAAACAAAGCCGTTCTTTTCGTGTGGCAGCTCTAAAGTCTGTCCCTCGGAGACCAAATAAGAAAATGACTCTCGAGTACTCGTGGGTGCCCAAGGCCGTCAAGGCCACATTCTGCAGCAAAACAGGGCCGTTCTTTTCGTGCGGCTACTCTAAACTCTGCTTTGCCTTCCGGAAATCTGCAAAAAACTAGGGCTGCTTTTGCCGTGCCAAAGCCGGCGAGGGAACCTCTACTAACCCAGCGCTTCGTTGGCCCGTGCCGGTCTACGCCCTTCACGCTCCCACGAACCTCTACCTCCTCTAATCCCGAATAAGTACACACCGCACATGTATGCATACAAGGCCTACATGCCTACGCTCATGTACACACCTTTATATGTCCACACACATGTGCAAGCAAAGATGAACACATGTGTCTATGCATTCGACTCAGGCGTCTTGCCTTAGTAATGGCAACCCATCGGCCGTCATGCACCCACGATGGAGTAAGAAAGAGAAGGAAAAGGAAGTAGGTGAAAATGAATACGAGGGTTCCACCCAGAATGGAACCCTAAACCCGAATAGGTCGAGGTTAGGGTGGCTGGGGTGGGAATACGAGCTACGCATAGCGAGCGCAAATGGCGAGGGCCGGCGTGAAAGCAGTATCGGGAGCCGGCCCGTGAAGGATGCGCGAGCGGACACAGCGCACACCCTAAACCCTAAACCCTAAACCCAAACCCTAAACTTAGCCCTAACCCTATAAACCAGGAGAGAGCCACAAGAAAGCAACAAGCCGACAAGAGAAGGACACCCCAAACCCTAGGCCACAAATCCTAAGCCCCTTGCCCTAAACCCCTAACCCTAAACCCTATACACCCTAGAGCCCATGCCCTAAACCCTACAAGCCCTAAAGCCGAAGCCCTAAAACCCTAAAGCTCCAAATCCCTAAAGCCCAAGCCCTCAACCCTAAAACCCTAAACCGTAAACCCTAAAACTTATAAACCCGTAACCCTGAACCTCAAGGTTTTGGCCACCGGCCTACTCTCTGTTCATCACGCGGGTCCTGCCGACGGACAGCCCCAGCGCGTGGTGGTAAAAGACCGGCCCAGGAGGTTTTATAGGGGTGGTTGTCAAAATTAGGGTCCCTTTTTGGGTCCTTAATGTAGTACGACACCTATTATTTAGGATAACCAAAAAAAGGACCATAATTTTGACAATTACCCATAGGGTTTTAGGGTTTAGGGTTTCGGGTTTGGGGGCTTAGGGTTCAGGCTTTTCCTGGTTCTGCAGGGTTTTTTATAAGGGTTCGAAAGGTGTCAAGTCGGGTTTCACAAAGTTTTGTGGAACTTTTCACCCGCCGTTAATTACGGCAGCGTCTATTTCAAAAACTCTCGAGTACTCAAAGCGCAAATTCGGACATACTGGGCCGAGAAGTCGTAGGTTGGGGTTTGCGGCTTAGTCTTTGCGGTTTTTGGCCCAGGGTTTGCGGTTTTGGGCTTACGGTTCCAAGGATTTAGGGTTTGGGTTTAGGAATTGACGGAAGTTTTAGAGGTTTGTGTTTTAGGATGGTTTAGGGCTTAATTAGGCTTCAAGGTGCCGTAAACCCTAAACCCTAAACCCAAGGCCGAAGCCCTTTTTTTCCCCAAGCCCTAGACCCTAGGCGTGGTTGTCAAAATTAGGGTCCCTTTTTGGATCCCTACTATAGTACGGCACTTATTATTAAAGGTACCCCAAAAGGGGCCCTAATTTTGACAACTACCCATATACCCTAAACCCTAAACCCTATAGGGTTTAGCCCTTACCGTCGGTTTTCTGGATTCGACCCTTTGATCCGCTTCCGAACCCTGAGATTGAAGGGGGCAATGCGGAAACGGTGTAGGGGTGTGGGGTTTAGGGGTTTCGGGGTTAGAGGGGTTTAGGTGTTTAGGGGTTCAGGGGTTTAGGGTTTAGGGAAACCCTAGCGTCCTGAAGACCTGGTGCTTCGGGTCAGTAGTAGCATTCTTCCGTACGATTTCGTACAGTAAATAGTATAGTACAGTGCACCCAAAGCCTTTTTCCAGTTATTGAAGCTCATGTACTGGAGTACCAAGCCCTAAACCCTTATAGTCACCTTTCAAGAACCCGTTAACGGAACCACGAAACCCTAAACCCTAAACCCTAAAGCCGAATCCCTAAACCCTAAACTCATGGCCTAGGCCGCCCTTAAGCCCCTCGACATCGATGGCGCAGGTCAATCCAGGACGCTCGCCCGCCGTTCCACAGACAGGGGTACTGTAGCACCCACGTTAGGCCCGGTACCGGGACACGTTCTCCCCGGGACCAGTACTGGTCCCTATTAAAGTCATTACCCTAAACCTGGAGCCGTACTCTGCTTTACTCTGCCCTGCCTTTTCGGAGCAGAAGCTTGGCTGCAGAATTATGTGGTTGTTGTTAACCAAAATGGACCTAAAAGAGTTTAGGTCCTAAACCCTAAAAGGTATAGGTTTGGGTGGTTTGCCGCCTCAGACGGCGTGGGGTGGGTGAGTTAGGTGATGGCCCGCCATAGTCGGGCCATGGCTGCGATTCGCAGGCAACAAAACCGTGAATAAACCTACAATCCCTGTTACACTACCGCTACGCAATCTTGCAGCAAACCCTAAACCTTAAACCCTAAACCCTAAACCCCAAACCCTAAGTCAGGGAGTGGTCCCGATCCATGGCGCAGCTGCCCAGCCAGGGACTTTGAAGTTGGCATCATCGGATAAGCAAGGGGCTTCTGGTGGGGTTTAGGGTTCAAGGGATTCTGGGATTAGGGTTTAGGGTTCAAGGGATTCTGGGATTGGGGTTTAGGGTTTAAGGGATTCTGGGGATTGGGGTTTAGGGTTTAAGGGATTCTGGGATTAGGGTTTAGGGTTTAAGGGATTCTGGGATTAGGGTTTAGGGTTTAAGGGATTCTGGGATTGGGGTTTAGGGTTTAAGGGATTCTGGGATTGGGGTTTAGGGTTTAAGGGATTCTGGCGATTGGGGTTTAGGGTTTAAGGGATTTAGGGTTTGCCGTTTAGGGTTCAGGGTTGTAGGGTTTGAGGGATTCTGGGGATTAAGGGCTTAGGGTTTTCTGGGGCTTGGCATTTGAAGGTTTCGAGTTTTGAGGTTTCGTTGGAGGACCTGGGGTTTGAAGGATGGGGCTTACGCAGCAGGAGTAGGATGTAGGGTTGAGGCATTGAGGGTCTGAGGCTTCAGAGTTGAGAGGGGTTTTGCACCGGGTTAAGGCCTCTTCCGTGGTCTTCAAATCAAAGAAGATCGACTTGGTTTGTGAGGGTGTTCAGCCTTGCGACGCTTGCAAGTTACAGTATGAGTTCATATCTCACTCCCTAAAAAGACTTGCCCTGAACCCGAAGCCGTAAATCCGCATCCTTGACCCCTACGCCTTAAGTCCTCAACCTGAAACCTATTTCCGAAGAGGCCGTGAACCTGGGCCCCACGTTCAAGATTCCGGGACCCTACACCCTAAACCAGAAACCCTATAAACCCTAAACCAGAAACCCTATAAACCCTAAGCCCTAAACCAGAAACCCTACAAACCCCAAACCCCAAAGCAGAAACCCTATAAACCCTAAACCCTAAACCAGAAACCCTATAAACCCTAAACTCTAAACCATAAACCCTAAACCATTCCGGATGTCGGGTTGGAGCTTTGGGTTTCTGTTTCGGCTTTGGAGGTTCCAGGTTTGGGGTTAAAAAGTGAGGGTTTCGCGTCAACTTCCCAGAAATCCCGAACCTAACTGGACCTAATTGCAAGTCTTAGCCCGCGGCCTCAACTCCGATCACCTGGTGCCCTGAACGCTTCACTTTAGGAGCCTGGTTGCGTGGATTTTCTCTATGGCTTCACAACAAGGCCTTGGAAGATTGTAGTGGACGCCTCCGCGACTGCAGGAACCTTCTGAGGCCACTACCCCAAGGCCCCAAAGTAGTTCCTTTTTGGGATTACCCTATGGGATTCTATATATGAATCCCAAAAAGGAGCTACTTTGGGGCCTTAGGGTAAGGCCCAAAAAAGCCCCACACACCCTCAAGGCCCAACCCCCCCATGGCGCATTTCGGCATTCTCAACACTCCCGAAAAGCCCCACAAAGCCACGAGCCTATGCCCTGAACTACCCCAAGGCCCCAAAGTAGTTCCTTTTTGGGGTTCATATATAGAATCCCATATGGTAATCCCAAAAAGGAACTACTTTGGGGCCTTAGGGTAAGTATCCTTTTGAACCCCAGGTGCCCAAAACCCGAAACCGAATTAGCCGAGGCGAAGGGCGCGACTCCCTGACGGTGGTGCCCTGCCCCCGGCGCAGGGGTTCAGGGAATTGAGGTTTAGGCATGAGGGTGGTGCAGATTTGGGGGTTTGAGGCTGTTGGATTTACAGGCCGTTTGATGTTGAAAATCGTGCGCCCTTCCAGAGCATGAGAGAGTTTGTGAATGCTTGGGCTACCAACCATCCTCAAACGGCAAGCTTATTGGTGCGAGGAGAAGAGTAAAACCACGCAGTCAACTTGCTAGGCACCACCGGTAACATGATTCCTCTCGTGCATTTATTCCCAAATCCTTGTTTTTATGTAAGGGTTCGGAAGGGTTGTACAAGGCCCCAAAACCATGTCCTACAGTAAGGGCGGCTGCGTAGTTTTAGGGATTGCTATAAGGGCTGAAAAAGGATTCGACAAGGGATTTCGGTACCTTTATAATACTTACTTCTGTAAATATATGGGAGTTTCCGAAAATAAGGGACACTAATATAGTACCCTAAATAGTAGGATCCTTAATATAAGGCCCCCAAAATAAGGTACCCCGAATTTTCGGAAACTCCCAGATGTAGGGGGAATTAATTAACGGATTTTGGAAGCTCTGGGTCTTCAGGCTCCTACATGAGCGAGGCATCTGAAGCCCGAAGGCCCGAGAGGGCAACCCCAATTTCCTGAGCTCTAGGCTCTAAGGCCCCAAAGTAGTTCCTTTTTGGGATTACCCTATAGGATTCTATATATGAACCCCCAAAAAGGAACTACTTTGGGGCCTTAGGGTAGGCTCTATTGTAGATTCCAGAAAGTTTGAACATCAATATCCTCATGCCGTTAAGAGTATCCTCATGCCGGCAAGATAAAGTATAGGGAATCCTTGCACCAATCCTCCTAAACCCCATGTTCCAATTATCTGAGGTTTACTGTGAATCCCTATTCACACTCCCAAAACCTCTGAGCGTTTAGGGTCTGCAAGGTTTAGCGTTGAACTGGGGTTTAGGGTCTGGCACTTGTGACTCCGCGTTCGCTTAAACCGCTGTATTCCCCGCAAGCTCATGCCGAGCCCTTGTTGCCACGCCACTCTGTGCCCCAGGTCGAAGCCCCGAGATGCGCAGGGAAGGGGTGCGGCTTCTCAGACGCCGGCAGGACAGGATAGGACCAAACACTTCAACACCCTTAATCCCAAGAAACAGCTCTCAGCAGCGATGCTGAAACGGCCGAACGCCTTGATGCTTCGGAATGTGGAGGTTTTGAATTTTTTTCCCCTTTTAATCCCGATAATTTGCCCCCAAACACTAGTCTACTTAGGAATCCCCTTGTCTTACGCTGAAGCCCTCGAGAACCAATCTTGATGCAGTTTCCTTCAACATAAGACCTCTCGTAAGAGGACTTCTGTGAGGTCGTTATCGGGTCGTCGTAGAGCCGTGAGGTCCACGATGGTACCGATATGATATGGGTAGTTGTCAAAATTAAGATCCCCTTATTTGGCACCCTGAATAATAGGTGCCGTATTATATTTGGGACCCCAAAAGGGACCATAATTTTGACAACCCTAAACCCTAAGCCCTAAACCCTAAACTCTCACCCTCTAAGCGTGCAGGCTTGAGCTCACAGTCCCTGACCCCAGAACCTTCTTCCCAAAGCCACGATCTCCAAGAGCTGCACGACCGAGGGCGATCCCTTTTCGGTATCCACCATCTCTCCCTTATCGCCCGGGTGCCCAACTGCTTGAAGCGCCCCCGTCCCAGACTTGAATCGAACCTCTGCAGGCTTGGTTACATGTGGGGTTTAGGGTTTAGGGATGTTTAGGGTTAAGGGTTACCTCAGTCACGTCAGGGCTGGGGTTACAGGAGTAACTGAGATTACAGGGAGGCATCTCACATGTCTCTAGGAAACTTGCAGCATGGGACCTTGCATGAATCAGGAATATCCATTTGACGGTCCCTTGCCTCTCCGCGTACCGCTGCGTTTGGGTCTCTTTCCCTTCGAAGCTTTCGGAACCCTGGTCCTGATGCGCAAATCCCGAAGCAAAAGATGTCAGTACAAAAGAGAACCGGTAAGACTCCCAGATCCCAGAGCCTTTGTGACAGAAACTGCAATCCAAGCCGACACCCCTAAACCCTAAACCCTACCTAGACCTTCAGCACAGGCACCCTGCACCCGAAGCTTCCAACCCTATTAACCACTCCTAAACCCAAAGCCCCGAAACTCTAAACTGAAGAACCCTCGAAAACCCTACAAACACCCGATAAGTCCTAAGCTTTAGGCTCGTACAGCCCCTAGCTTTACAGTACCTGTAAGAGCTCTCTGAGCACACTGAGCTCTATGCTTACTTGCTCCAGGCGCTGACATTAGGGTTTAGGGTTTAGGGTCCCCAACAGTTACCAACAACATTCCTTACAGTTTCTGATCAATCATACTTTAATGTGCCCCCAAAACCCTGTTCTGTTTATTCGCACCTCTATAAGTTAACCCTGCCAAGCACTGTAGTACCCCCACAACACCCTTTGGGGAGGTCGTTGAAGAACACTTACAGGAACCCTGTTCTAATCATCAAGGCCCCCAATACGTTGATGATAAAAATCCTGCACTACCTTAAGGACCCTAAACTATGGGAATTATGGTATAGTCCTTATTCTGGGCAATGCAGGATTTCTTTCATCAACCGTACTACACCAACTCTCCGTTCCTTCTCGTAGTTCTTGCTATGGAGTTTCATTCAATCATTCGGATTTTGGATTTAGGGTTTAGGGTTTAGGGAAGTTACCATCATAAGGAAATCATACTAATTACTTCATTACTTCCGATAGACCCTTCTTGTGGTACCTATAGTTCCTGTAGCTAGAAGTCCTTTACACTGCGCCCCGGCCCCCTCCACCAGAAGCTCTGACAGCTCCCCAGGCCGTTGCGCTGGCGCTCTGTGTGAGCTGCCTGGCGTGGGCCCGAGAAGCGGCTACAGCTAGGAGCCCTAATGTAGGAACCTGATTAAGAAGCCCTGGGCCTATGGCGTGCTGATTCAGTGTATGCCCTTTTCTGGGTAGGCGCGCTTTGGAGAAAGGAGCGTCATTGCACTTAAAAGAAAACCCACAATAGTAGGATTCATATACGGAACCCTAACAAGGGCCCAAGGTCTCTTAATCAGGTTGCTACACTATTATAGCACCCTTATAGATCCCTTATAGTAACCCTTATAGACTAGACCCCTTGAAAGGAATCCTAACCAAGGCCCAAGGTTTCCTACACTAACCCCGAAACCCTGAACCCGAATCCGAGGGAAAGTGCAGAGTTCAGTTTCAAGGAGCACTAGACCGACAATTAGAGTTCGGGGCTTGGGGGTTTAGGGGTTTGGAGGGTTTAGGATTTATATAGGGGTTTGGGGGTTTAGGGTTTAGGGGTTTGGGGGTTTGGGGGTTTAGGGTTTAGGGTTTAGAGCTCAGGGTTTGGGTTTTGGAATTTAGATTTCGGGCTGAAGGGCTGCCGCTTGTGGTGAATTGCCCGAATCATGCGCTCGCGTGGCTTGCAAACTCACCTTAGGGGTACTTAGAAATAATTTTGAATTTTTGGATGTTAACTCACCTTAGGGGTACTTAGAAATAATTTTGAATTTTTGGTTGTTATAATCCATAAGAAACAGCCAAAATTACAATTGTTGCTAGGGTTTTAAGTTCAGTGTCACCCCGGCCATCCAAGCTATACTTTGCTTAGTAAGGGTTCAGCGTCTTAGCTACGATGGGGGCCTACACACTTACCAATGCTATTTTGGGGGTTCCTCATTACAATCATAGTATAATGGGCACCAAAACCCTATTCGAATTATTAAGGCCCCAAAATCATAGAACCCTACTTTAGATCCCTTATAGTAACCCCTTTAAAGGACCCCTTTTAAGGAACCCTATTCCAATACTTGTGTCGGCCAACTCGCAATCCCACCTTGTTTTTCGGGCCATGCTTGAAGGATGATGAGATGGTTCTTGCTAGCGCCCTTGAGTCGGCGTGCATGGTTGGTGATCTACCCTAAGGCCCCAAAGTAGTTCCTTTTTGGGGTTCATTCATACATAGAATCCTATAGTATTATAGGGTAATCCCAAAAAGGAACTATTTTGGGGCCTTAGGGTAAACTATAGCCATGCGACAGGTGCTGGCGTGGCCATCCTTCTGTGAATACTCATGTTGTCGTAATGAGGCCCGATAGCTCCGGCCTGGATGATGTCGAGGGTCGCAGTGGGGAGGATTCCAGAGAGCCTTGCTTGCGAGGTCCTCATTTTGACGTAACTTATGTAAAGTGTTGGCCCCAGGCCAAAATCCCAAATTCGAAACCCCAAAGCCCTAAACCTCAAGCTTCCGGATCCCAAGCCCTCTCAATCCGAACTCCCAAACTAACAGATCAAGCACCTAGGATTCCCCCCCGAGGCCCGCGTAGACCCATGTCTAAATAACGTTGAGCATGTCTGTGCTCCTAGACCTTTGCCACCTGCGCGTCGCAACGCGGCAATGCCTCCCAGAAGGAGGCCTGAAACCCTTCGGGGGTGTCTGGGTTTCAGGGCTTGGATGAGGGCTTAGAGGGTTCAGAATTTCTGCAGGGCCTTTTGTAAATGCCTACTTGGAGGTTCATGGATCGTTATAAGTAGGGTCTTAAGTAGGGTAACTATACTTCCAACCCAACTACGGGACTTATAACCCCTCTTATACCTACCCCCGAACCTCCAAGTAAGCCCTAAACCTTATACCCTTATAGAATCCCTATAGATCCCTTTAAAGGGACCCTTAAAAGAACCCTGAACCCTGTTAGTGCGGAGTCTAAGTAATTTTTCAGTTCAAGACTCGCGACATGCTGAGTTGCACTTCCATGGGTGGGTTTAGGGGTTTAGGATGAAGGCTTTAGGGTTCAGGGTTCAGGGTCATTTAGGGTTCAGGGTTTAGGGTCATTTAGGGTTTAGGGTTTAGGGTCATTTAGGGTTTAGGGTTCAGGGTCCTAAGCCTGAAGCAAAGCTTGGAGCTTGAACCTCAAACACCATAACCTTCATTCTGCTATGGAGGTCTGTAGTATGAGTGGTGACATCCCCTGGCATGCTGTCCCGTATATTAGTATAATGCAACCCCCAAGACCGTAGTGTAGTTAATCAGGCCCCTATATCATACATCGATATCCCTAAACATGCTGCAGACGGAGCCGTTCTTGAGCGGCGGGACGCTGCCCTCTCAGCAGGAAGATGTTCGGTTTGGGGCGGCGGTAGAGTTGGGCCACGCAGTAAGCTAGCACAGCCTTCTGTTTTCGCAGGGCCTCTGTACAAAACTTAGTGTGCAATTCGCAAGCTATCAGAACGAACAAGTTGGTATTGGGATTCAGAGATGTTTTGAGTCTTGTGATTGGGACTTTGGGTTTCCTGCTTGGGGTTTCAGTTTGCTGCGGGGGCTCAAGCTGCAACACCTCGAACCCGCCGTTCAAACTCCGTATCGCCTCGTACCCAAAACGCAACTGCACCTTTTGCGAGGTGAGGGCTTGGAAAGTCGCGGCAGCTAAGTGTCATTGGATCCGGGCTGGCGACGGCTTCCATGTAACATCAGGATCTGAAAAACTAGAAAAAGTATCCACTTATAGTCCATCTTTAGTTGAATTAGTTGCACTATGATGTGCCAGGTTCACCTTTAGAACTGCTGCTGTCACAAAAGTTCTGTGGTATTATTGTCATGGTCATGACTCTCAACCGAGCCAGCCCCACACCACGAAATCTTAAACCCTGCACATTTTTTAGCATTATCAAACCCTTGCAGGGAGCCTTGTAAGCAAACAACCAGAAAATTCCTCTAAGGCTCTCCAAAACCACAAACCGCTCCATAAAAAGGAAGCTCTTCAAAACACCAAACTTGGATCTTAAAGCCTTAAACCTTACCAAAACCTAGGTGACACCCTAAATCTACACCCTGAAACCTTCAAGAAACTTCTACGTAAGCAAGCGCCCCCGAGGTGGGACTCTGACAGCAGCCCCGAGCCCGAGAAGGGCTTCGCGCCTGCGGGGACTCGCGGCTTCGATCCGAAGCCCGGCGCCCGATTCCGCTTATTATCATTTTGAAAATTATTGCTATTCTTCCTATCACTATGATACATTCTTGCTATTCTTCCTATCATTATGATAAGTTAGTAACTATTCTTCCTATCGTTACCATTCTTACTGTTTTCGCGAGTATTACGAGTATTGCGAGTAGTGTTTCTTTTTTCGTATTGTTGCTGTCAGCATTATGTCAGGTACCGTTATTGCTTGTTGTTATCGTGATTATTTTCAATATCATTATTACTGGTCTTGTTGTTATTCTACGATTACTGGTGTTGTCATTGTCGCTCTTTCAACTGCTGTTATGACTATTTAACGATTCCTTTTGTTATGAGACTGGCTCTTAGTATAATTATGTTGTTGTAGCTATTGGCTACTGTTCTTATTCCTTCCTACATATGTACAGACACACATATATACATACATACATACATACATACATACGTACTTACATTCCCACCTACTCAAACACTTGCTTGCTTGCTTCCTTCCTTCCTTGCTTGCTTCCTTCCTTCCTTGCTTGTTGCTTGTTGCTTGCTTGCTTGCTTGCTTGCTTAGGTACATACCTGCATACCTACATACACGCATACATGCAGGAAATAACGCCAATGCCCACGAAGCTGTCGCCGATGCCCACGACCACTGCCCGCGATTTTGTCGCCAATGCCCGCAAAAGCTCGAGGGAATTGTCAAAGTCTGCCCGAGCATTGGCGAAAAGGTCGTGGGCATTGGTGAAAGCCGGCCGAGGTTCCAGTACATGTGAAACAGGGGTTCACGGTTTAGGATCGTGAACGGCTATTGCATATTTGCAATTCAACATAGATATGTAACAATGTAAAACTAAGATAAGATAAAGCTACATGGGAAAGGTTAAGAGAAAGGTTCAGGGTCTCTCAGAAAAAGACGCTGCCCTCACTGTTTTTCCCTTGCAGTCTCATTAGAGTCGAGTGTCAGAATGTTGTTTGGGGTTTTCAGACTCAACGATACGAGTACCTCACAGTAAGGCCATCACGAACAAGCGCCGGGTCCCTAAACCCCAGGCCCCAGTCATTCCAGTGAGATCTAGACAGCAGACGGTAGCGCCGAAAGCCCTTCCGCTATGAATCCTCGACCGTGAGCTTAAGCCACCAACTCCTTCGACAACTGGGGTTTATGCTTGAGAAACCCGAACCCTGAGAACCTCAATCCTCGACGCCAGACGCCGATCCCCCAAAACCTGGAAAACTCAATGCGAGCCCTCTGGACAAAACGATTGCCTCAAATATTTGCCTAGGCGCTTTGACCGGCAGAAGTATTTCCAGCTTGGCACTCGGCTGCTGGGCGTGCGGCTTGTAGCCTGAGGGCGTGCGAGTCCATCTGTACTTTAACAAACCCCTTTTCCCTCAACAACGATTGTCTTGCATTACCTTATACCCTTTACGCCGAAGCAAAAGAAACCTTGAATCCGCAAGTGGAGCCTGTCAGATCTAAGAGCTGAGCAGGTTGCAGAACTTAGGAGGGGGAGACATGGGGCTTTACAGTAGAGGGTAAAAGGGTTCCCTAAACCCTAAACCCTAAACCCTGAGGGCTTTAGGGGTTTAGAGTTTAGGGTTTGGGGTTTAGGGGTTTCAGGTTTGGGGGTTTAGGGGTTTAGGGTTGTAGGGTTCAGGGTGTAGGCTTGAAGTGTGTTAGAGGCCAGAAGGTTTAGGCTTCAGGGCTTGGTATACGCCGGCGATGTGGGACCCGCCGCCCACCTACATACCACATCAAAGCCCCAAGCCCGGAGTTCTTAGTACAGAATGGGGGAATGGGTTACAGGTTATAGGGATTACTATAAGGGATAATCATAATGAGGGATTCATGCCACCATTCTGTTAAGAGCAAGGGAGCTAAGATTTGCTTGTATCCAGCTCCGTGCCGAAACCGGTGTATCCCAAGGCAGGCCCCCTGGGGTCGGCAGTTGGGGAGCCTTCAACTCCCACCCACAACCCGAAACCTTACTTGGAGGGTCGGGGGACTTAGTAAGAAGGTAGTAAGTAGGCTTATAAGTACCCTAAAAGGCACCCTAATTGGGGCTCTGGTACTTATAAGTCCCGAAAACAACCAGTTACTAAATCCCTGACCCTCCAAGTACACCCTATGAAACTCCAAACTCGAAGCCCAACCGTTGGGGCTTCCGAAGGTTGAGGTTCGAAGTTTAAGGTAGGGATACGGTGTAAGGGTTCAGGGTGGCTTGGGGTTTGTGGGTATGGGGTTTGTAGGGTTTGAGGGTTAAAGTAAAAGCCGGAAAGTTGGAATATGATTATCCTAAACCCTTTATGGTAAATTATAGGGTATCCTACCCTGAAACCATATTCCAACTTGCTGGAGTTCCCTTTAAAGTCTTAAGCTAAGGCCTCGGGTTTCAGGCTTGTTTGTTAAGGGCTCCACCAACTGCCAGTGACCCCTCGACCCTAAACCCTGAAAGCCTGAACAAGTCTGAACCTAAGCCTAAAAGCACTAAACATCCTCAGCACCCCTAAAACATAAACAAAAGCTAGGACAGCTAGGATCTGGGGTAGCCCTTATTTCCCTTATAAGCCCCTTTGAACCAAAAAGGGCACCCTTTTTATTCCTAGGTTACTCTTGGGTCTAGAAAGCAAACAATCCCAACCACCCAAACACCCCAAAACTCTCAGTGCCCGAGCGGAAGCGGCACGGCTCCAGGCGCGCGGGCATGGCCTCGAGCCAAAGCTATCAGCCAACCTCTGAGCAAAGGTTCCTTTCAGGGCTGCGATGAGGTTGGAATAAGAATTCCTGACAAACCTCAGAACCCAAAGCCTAAAGCCTAAACCTTGGGTTTAACACGAGTAATGAGAAATCCGAAACCCCACATACACCCTAAACTTTAACCGTAATAAACCTTTGACCCCAGCTCAGAGGCCGTATCTACCCTCAGCCACATGGGTAGTTGTCAAAATTAAGGTCCCTTTTTGGGGTACCCTAAATAATAGGTGCCGTATCATACAGGGGCCCAAAAAGGGACCATAATTTCGACAACCACCCATGACATGTATTGTCTAGCATGGCTGTCGGTTGCTGGCTTATTGGGTACAGGGTTTGGGGCTTTTTGCTTAAGGGCGTAGGGTGGAGGGTGAAGGGTTCAGGGCCTTTTCTAAATTGGGGTTAAGGGCTGGGGCCTGTAGAGAAGGCGAAAACAGGATTCCTGGCTTTCGGATGCTCCACTTGGAGGCCCTTTTGACTTAGTAAGTCTACTTAGTATCCCCTAGAAACCCTATGATAATCCCCATAACCCAGCTTACTAATCCTAGTTAGTAAGTCATAAGGGCCTCCTAAACCCCTATAGACCCCTTAAAGGAACCCTTAATAGTACCCTTTAAAGGAACCCTAGGAACCCTAAGAACCCTTTAGGGCTTACTAAGTCATAAGGGCCTCCAAGCCAGCCCGCTCCAAAGCTCAAGCGCTGATAAAACATGCCTGGTCCCAAGTGGGAAGATCAGAGGAGGACACGAAGTCCTCAACAGATTTAAGGGTTTAGGGTTTGGGGTATACCTGAACCCCCAACAAGCCACGTATCAAGGGTGCCTTACCATGATTTCCTTGTATAGCCACGGGAGACGGTAGGGTTTTCTTGGGAGGGTGACTTTGGGTTTAGGAAGAAGTTCTTGGCCTGAATTCGTAGAGAATTGAACTGCCGGATCCGCCGGAAACTTTTCGAAACCTCACCCGTGCATCTTTGGCGCTCACGGTTTCGGCGTTATGGTTTAGAGAGTAGGGTTCGGAGATTGGGGTGTAGGGTATCTCGCACTTAAGGGCCCCCTCTCGGCCGGCAGCGCTTTGGTTGGTTTGGGGTTTGAGCATCTCTTGAAGCACCGAGGTCACAAAGATTCGGCTGATGGTAACTTTGGCACAGGCCCAGGGGGCGGGCGCCCCAGAGACTCCAATATCCCTTAATTAAGGAATATTCCTTAAATCATATTAAGGATCCTATTATATTGTAAGGTATATGCCTGAACTAAGGTATATTGGAATCCCTGAAGCCCAAAACCCCATAGATCCCTGATAGGAACCCTGAAAAGAAACCCTCTAGATCCCTTTAAAGGAACCCTGGGTATCTGGAGTCTCTGGGGCTCTTCCGGGGTCTGCAGTTTCGAGACCGCAGCATAGGGTGGCCCTCTGGATTGGTGAGGCTTTAGGGCTTAGGGTCTAGGGCTTCAGGGTTTAGGGCTTTAGGGCTTTAGGGTTTAGGGTTTAGGGCTTTAGGGTTCAGGGCTTTAGGGCTTTAGGGTTTAGGGTTTAGGGCTTTAGGGTTTAGGGCTTCAGGGTTTAGGGCTTGATGGTTTAGGGCTTTAGGGTTGAGGGCTGGTTTGGGTCTAGGATCCTGCACCTCAATCCAGCGTCTGGCGCTTACCCTGTCGCTTAACCCTTGCAACCCCAATTGAACCTGACCTTTACCTTTTGCCCTCTAGGCAAGCCCTTTCAATCCTGACCTCCGTCTTTCCCGTCAGCTCATCTGATTCTTGTACCCTTACCTACAGCAGTGTCTTTTACTCCCTGCCCTTGCCCTGACCCTTAAAGTGTCCCTTATAGGAGCCCATAAAGGATGCCTTCAACGATCCCTTAAGGAACTAAAGGAACCCCCAAAAGAACTAAACCCTAAACCCTAAACCCTAAACCCTAAGTAAACCCTAAGCCCCGGATTTCCATCAGCTCCCCTTTCGCCTCTCAGGGAAGTGCTCAGAACTGAGCTGAAGCCTTGCCCGCACGCGACAGAAAGGGAGGGACCGGAATGGGGGGCGGGGGGGTGGGTAGGAGAGCAGAAGTACGAATGGAAGTCAGGATGCAAAGTTCAGAGTCTAGAGTCTAGGGATTCTTGCAATTTAGGGTTCAGGGCGAAGAAGGAGCAATACGGTCTCCCTGTCCTATGTAGCTATGTTCAAGGTTTGTCTACGGATGACACCTAGATACGGTGAACACACGCAGAACATTGCTGGCTGGGGTGGCGGGGAGGGGGTTGACACACAATAAAGACGTTGTGAGAGTAAAGCGAGACCGACAACTTTGCGCCCCCTAATGTAGGGGCCTGAGTAACTGCCAAGACTATTCTGGATCCGCTCATGAAAACTTCTGTATAATATAGTCCAAAACCAAATTCCAATTAGTAAGTCTTATTATTCATTCTGGCACACCACAGCTCGACTAGCCGCAACCAGAGAAGGAACCATTACCACCGTAGCATTCGGTAGCCATAGCCACTTATGTTCGTTACAGTAGGCACAGAGGCGATTGCAGCTTCAGTAACAGACCGACCGTCGTATCCACCTCGCTTTATGTTGTGATTAAGATAGGCTTTGCTTGGTGCTGGTATCAACGCTACTGTTAGTGTTGGTACATATATATGTATATATATTATATACATATGTTTTTTTGTTTATGTCTCTCTCTCTCTCTGTAGATGCGTACTACAAGCTGAGTTGACCGTCATAGCTACGCGAATTCACACGAGTAGCCAGTACTGCTCATGTTACTAGCGCCACTCAAAATCTCACAGTCCCCATATTTGCTTTCAAACATACGCCAAAATGTTGTCTTAAGCCTGGGCCTAGCCTTCCCTCGGAAAGACGTAGGGCAAGTGTCGAAACACGCTAAGCCCGACTCCAGCAGAAGTTACAGCCTTTTTGAAGGACTATCGCTTTTGTTTCTGTGGGTCACGCACTCAAAAAGGTAGCTTTCGTAGGGTCCTGGCAGACACCGGAAACCCCACACCCTCAAACCTTCAAGCCTAAACCAACACAGCCCTAAAATCACGCATTTTGCTGCGTCTGTCGGCTGGAAGCCTTAGCCGCCAGTTTTGTGCTTTCCAGCGCCGAGCCATGGCAGAGGCGACAGATGGACAGCTCCAGCATTGAAGCTTTGAGTGTAGCGTTTAAGCTTCTAGCCACTTTGGGTTTACGGTTTCGGGGGCTTTCTGGGGCTTTTAGTTTAGGGCTTCCGGGTCGAGGGGTTGAGAGTTCTTTGCGCTTCAGTGCATTAGGTTTTTCAAGCAATCAATAGAGACTGGAGTTTGTTCTGGTTCTTTTGAAGTGCATCGGCATGTCCTGGTGCAAGCTTTACCAGGGGTGTTTGTAGAGACAGAGAGTTGTTCATGCGGTGGAAAGGTTTCGGGAGTGTTGGGTGACGATTGACACGTCTTTGTCTGTCTGTTTGTTTTTGCGACTGTCTACCTTAAACCCTAAACCTAAGGTCAAAGGGCTTGTGCTGCTTCCGGACTTGTGTATTATAGTACCCTTGTAGATCCCTTATAGTAGCCCTTATAGACCCTTTTAAACAGGAATCCTATTCTAATTACTGATCGGAATGCTGTACCTCTTGGCCTCTGAAGCTGTTGCTTCCCATGCTTGGAGAGCTTTGCACATCTGGTCCTTCCGCGGTAGAAGTTTTGCTTTGCTGGCTTTCCTCGTCTTCATCCCTCCCGTCTTCACCGTCATCCTTGTGGTGGTGGTGGTGGTGATGGGTGGTTGTTGTAATCGTCGACCTGGTCGTGCTGGTGGTGCCGTCGCCGCATGGCCGCCGCTGTAGTCGTCGAGATCGTCATACCACCGTCGTCAGCATCAACACCCTGCATATCTGCAGCATCAACAACCAGTCTTGCCCTGGTCGATGTCATAGGCACTGACATGTTTTTCTCGCCTCCTTCACGGACTCCACGGCAGCATACATATCCATGTTCATAGTCATCAGTATTAACATTTCCCATAGTCGTAGCCATAAGCGTTTACATAGTCATAATGCCAAAACCAACCATGCCGTCATCATGATGACGGTGCTAATGATGATCATCACCATCATCATCTTTGCCGTCGCTGTTATCACCATGCCATTCCCAGAGACTCCAATTTCCCTCAGTTAAGGAATATTCCTTAAATCATATTAGGGATCCTATTATAATTTAAGGTATATTCTTTAATTAAGGGGTATTGGAGTCTCTGGGTTGCGTCGCCTGTCATCACCATTGACAGTCCCCAGAGACTCCAATATCCCTTAATTAAGGAATATTCCTTACACTATAATAGGATCCTTAATATGATTTAAGGAATATTCCTGAATTAAGGGATATTGGAGTTCTCTGGTCATCGCTAGCACGAAGCAATCATTACCTCAGTTTCCGTCATGCGTCTCTAGCTCGTTGGTTGGGTTCCTATTGATGAGGTCCCCAGAAGTATGTAGTATGGAGGCCTTAATTATTACGTATACTATTTTGGGGGTCCGTGTTACAATTACAGTATAATGTCCCCCAAGACATTATTCTAATTATAAAGGCCCCTGCATTATATAAGCTAGAAGAGAAAGAAACCTGTTTGCCACGGCAGGCCCAACCAACACCAGTTCCGTTGCCAGATCTAGCCCTAAACCGTAAACCCAAAGCCCTCAACTACAGTCCGCCTGTTCACGCACACCACTCTACTAACCCTAAATCCTACCAGCCATTAAAAATCGGCTCATCATTTCTCGGTGTAGATCCCGACTAGATGAGGTTTCCTCCCGGGGAATGCTGATGTCGAGCGAAGAACCAAACCCGGAAACTTGCACAGGGGGGCGATGAGAGATTTGATGGAGTCCTCCTGAACATTGCACAGCAGGCCCGCAGAGATTCTTGAAGGTTTGTGTGTCATATGGAAGCCGAAAGAATTACCAACATGATTCCTTCGAGCTCCTCATGTAATTTATTTTGTTTATACTGTAAAGGAGCTCAAAGCCCTTTTCTAACTATTCAGGCCCCAACGGTAATTGCAAGTAACGTAGATGCTAGCCGGGTCTACTTGGAGCTTCGTGGGTAGTTATAACTGGAGTTATAAGTAAGGTAACAAAACTTATAACCCATGTTAAATGGGACTTATAAGCCCATTTAAAGCTACCGATGAACCTCCAAGTAGAGCTTGTCCAAAACCGTGGTCCACTTATCTGGGCCGGGTGTAGCGCTAGCTTGAGCTATGGGCTCCCGTGGTTGTAGACCTACTTTCACTACCCAGGAAGCATGAACTCTGCATACAGGTCAAGGTTTTCGGATCTGAGGGGCCTACCTGCAATGAACTCGCGGATCAGTCGTGCAGTTACGCGCAGCGCAACGTCAGTCGGATGATGCTCTCCCTAGGTTCGGGATCGTAACAAGTAAACCCCATCAACATCTCTAACGCTTTCTAACACTCCTCAAGGAATGTTCCCTAATCAAGTGTGTTGGGGTCCTAAAGCCACGACACAGGCTACTAAACCCCGAACCCAGCAGTCCCAAGCCCCAAAGCTTAAAGCCAAATCCAAAAGATCAAACCCCGTAGAAAACCCCGATCAGATTTGTACGAGCCGCTGGCTTGGCCAAGAATGGACTTATCTTGGAAGTTTGCACAAGAAAGTCTCGTGCAGCCGTTTCCAGCTTTGTGCTGAAGGGTTTTTTTGGTGTTCCAGCATGGCGTCTAGCTCCTCCGCTTGCTTCGTCAACGGAGTCCGACATGGAGGTCCCATGTCCAAACGAGTTTTTGCTCAGGCTCAGGACTCTATGAAGAGAGGCCGTTGTAACGATGCTGTGTAGGATTGCAGCAGCTCGTCATCGACCCGTGCACTGCACCCGCTTCAAGAGGCTTGGCATGGAAAGATATGGAAAGGGTGTGAAGAATGACCGGAGAGCTCGAGTTACTGGTTTCGAATGTCTGCCCTGCATGTTCTGCCACCCTGAGAGGAAGACTCGCCATGCATGAGTGCAGACTTTCAGAGCCCAGCCTCTGGGTTGAATTCCAGTGCTGGGTTGAATCCCAGCGTTGTGAGTATGCTAGCTCGGGCCTCGCGGCCTACTGTCTTCATTTGATCTTTCTGAGGTGTCTTCACCTTCGGCGTCGTCAGAAATTTTTGGGGCTTCTTGTCGCGCTTTACTGGGGAAACTTTGGTAGTCCTGTGCTGGATCATGTACTATTTCATCGTACTATTTCATCTGAGGTGCCTTCGCCCCAGACACCGCCGTCTGAACTTTTGAGGGCTTCTCGTCGTGCTTTGCTGGTGAGACCCAGGCAGCTCTGAGGCTCCTGTGCCCCGGACACCGCCAGAACTTTTGATGGCTGCTGGTCGTGAACGTTGGTGAAGCTCACATGACTGCTGATCGCACGGCCGAGCTCTTGCCTTAGGCTCCTACTCCGATTCACGTACTTCCTGAAGACTACGAGGGCATGGCTGTTGCCTCCTGTCTGTCGTTGCAGTTCCAATAGAGTTTTGCTCTCGATGTTGCTCTTCGTTACACTCGCCATCTCAGGATGATTTGGATGACGATTTGCAGAATTGGCCGGTGCCCCGAACGCCGTCGCCGCTGCTCCGTGCAGCGACTCGGCACTATACCAGCCGCTAGCCGCCAGCGCGAGATAATGAGCATTGTTGGAGAGGCTGTTCTACTCGAGGAGTCTGGCAACTGTTGCTTTGTTTTGCAGGCTGCCCGCCTGCGCGAACAGGGGCTGCTGCCCCCTTTGCCTCGGACTCAACAGGGGCCTCCCCCTCGCACGCCTCCGAGGCTTCCGAACCTCGGCCGGTTTGGCTTCAGCTTCCACAGCAGAAAGCACCACCTTCTTGTTTCGTGAGGGCTGCAGGCGAGACCGAGCCCTGCTTCGCCGGCATCTGACATCATTGCTGCTTGGCGTATAATATCTCTCTTCATTGCTCATCACCCACGATGGCCGAGCTGCATGCGAGGACAGTTCCAGCAGTGATGAGCTGGAGAGGATGCAGAACGGACACCAGGACCCTAGCAGGGCTTGCAATCAGACGCTCCAAGCCATGACGTCTGAGAACACCATGAAGGAGACGCTCGTCGCATTGCAAGCTCCTCACCTCCTCCCTGTCCCCGAGGCATCCGACTCCAAGCCAGACGTGCCCGAAGATGGCTTGGCGGCTGCAGGAGATGATGCAGATTCGGATGTTGCGCCACCTACAACAGCAGGCACGCACGATAACAGAGATCCTGAAAGCCACCGGTGTGGACAAGTATGAGCCAGCGGCCACGGATTCCGCAAAGCAAGCGGTGCGACGTTTTCATGCCACAAGTCAGGGACGACAACGGCGAGATGCAAGCATTGGCAATTGGTGATCGTTTGTTCCTTAACTTATGGCATCGTCCTGACAAAGCTCACGTTGGCATGTGTGAAACCATTGCGGCGCTCACGGAGCAGTTTCCACTCTTCTTTGGTGATGGGAGATTGGAATGCCGTACCCAATCAATGTCCTGTCAGGAGCTTGGAAAATGTCCAGGTCGTTGCGGCTGTTGAAGCGAGTGGCCACTTGATACCAACGCGATGGGAATATAACAGGTGTATCGATTACGCGGCGTTCCGAGGTGGACAATGCTGAGGCAGCAATCTTGGAAGACAAGGTGTCTGATCACAAGGAGGTATCATTCACTTTCGGTGGTTTCGGGAATTCGCACTCTTCAGATCATTTCCTCAAGCCCAAGATGCGCTACAAATGCCCGGCATCCTTGGACATGGATGGTTGGAAGAAGGCCCTCAAGAGCGCCTATGTACCGTTCCACGGAGGATCCTTGGATTTGACCAACCAAGCCCAAGTTGATAAATGTTGGCGGAAGTTTAATCGCCACGTGGAAGGAAGGTGCTTTTCAACAAGTTGCACGAGATCACAACCCTGAACCGATGCGAACAAAACGGTGTCAACCGAAAGGGTGGCCGATGCAGGCCACGACGGAGCGGGATTTCGGTGTGAGACGTGAAGATAGTGGCGGTTTCTTGCTCCGACGGCTTCGTAAGTGTCTGGGCAGAGTTGCTGAGCGTAACAGACGCAACAGTGGCCTTGATGCTGAGCGCCTGGATTTGAAAATCAAACGGACGTGGCCTTCGATTTTGCCTTGGGCGGATTCCTGGAGTCAACAGGAGTCTGTCATGCATGCAACAGGCGGTCGATGATCTCCAGCAGAGTACTACCTCGTCGCGCTTGTCTCAATGGCGTGACAGGATCAAGCGTGGCGGTCCGGAAGCCCACAGATGGTTGCGGTGCGAAGCTGGCTGTCTCCCTGCCAGCTTGCATGACGATGGCGCTCCTAGCAAATGTCCTTCGGGAAGTTTGGCCATTTTGTCATCTTACTGGAAGCGGGTTTGGAACCGAAGTGACGGCCCAAGCGAAGACGAGATCTTTGAGAATTGGCGTGAGCCGTTGGCATGGACACCGTTTACTTACACCGAGGTCGAGGCGACCTTGCGGAAGTCTAGCAGCACGGCCTCAGGCTCTTCCGGTTGGACTGCTGACGAGCTGAAGGCATGGCCCAAGCAAGCTCTTATGGGTTTTGTTGATATCGCCAACAAGATGTTTGAACAGAGACTTTTCCCTACCGGTTGGCAGGAAATTAAGATGGTGGTCATCCCTAAAGCAGGGAAACAGCCGCGAAGTGATGGAGCGGTTCATGCTGGACATTTGCGGCCCATTAGCGTGGAATGTACGTTGTGGCGTCTCCTGGCTTCAGCCTTCGCGCGACGAAATTATACACGGCAATGGATCGCATCTTTTGTGCCGCATTTCTTTCGTGGCGGTTTGGCGGGACGGGAAGTTGCCAGCGGAATAGATGAAATCGAAGCAAGCATCAACGAGAACAAGGCTTCTGTGGCAACACTTGACTTGCAACAGGCGTTTGATCATTTGTTGCCCGGCGCAGCCATCAGAATGTTGGCCTACGTTGGCGTGCCGCTTCCTTCGATCGCAGGATTGAGCATATTTGGCTTCACCAACGAAGATGGATTCTTTGGGGCCCTTGGTCCTCTACGGCGGCTGCAAGCGTGTGCCGAAGCACACCCCAAGGAGATGCTCTTTCACCATTGGCAATGATGGTTGCCATGCTCGCGCCAGCTAGAGCTGCGTTCTTCAGTATGCCGCAGATCAGGCTGAGCATTTTCCTGGATGATAGACCTTTGGCTCACCCAGACCCTGAGGTCCTTCTTTCTGGCATCGCTTTCTGGGAAGGATGGTCGACGAGACTCGGCTTCAATCAGAACTTGGCCAAGAAGGCCATCATGCCCAGAGGAGTTCGTCAGATGTGCCGTTTCAGGGAATGCGGGATATAGCAAGGACAGACCTACCGGCAATGCACCTGTACAGCAAGCGATTACTATTGCTGCCAGAATTGCAAGGTTGCGCACCAACCAACCCATCTGCCTGTCGACGTTTCTTCACGTCGTTGTGCAGTTCCAAGGCGGCTTGGGGATGGTGGTTCCGTGCACCAGCTCCTGCTCTTCTTCGACGTCTGCGCCAGTTGTACAGAAGATGGGTGGATGCCCACGGGCAGGCCAGTCGCTGGTTGTTTTCGCTTCTTGAGGGTCATGCTGTAAACATCGAAGTTAAATCTGGCATGGATGCAGCTTCTGCATTGAGACGGGCAGTTTGCAAACGCAGCCTTCATTGGCGTGGCACATGGCAAGGCAGAGTCCGAAGCTTTCTCTCAACTCTTGATTGGCAGGAACGAGGCGCGTGGCATTGGGAGCATGCAGACCTGGGTCACATGAGGTGGAATCAAGGAGATACCGATCAACAAAGAGGTCGGGATGCTCATTTGATCAGGGAGTCATGGAGACGCGGTCTGCTAAGAAAGTTCTTAGCGCAGACGTGGCGGGATTCCACTTTTCTGCGGGCTTCCGTTCAGTACGATGAGTTGAGAGTCAAGCAAGCTGTGGTCTGTCATAATAAGGGCAGCCCTGATGAAAAAGCTGTTCTTCTGGGAGCGGCGTGCAGTGTTGCCTTTTGGCAACGCCAGGCAGGGGGTAATTGTCCTTCCTGCTCTGCCCCAGCGCCTTCGTGGTGGCATCTAGGATGCAGGGGATGTGTACGATTCCGAGAATCACGTTCTACAGTTAGTGGTGATGCTTTGTCTCGCAGGTTGGGATGGCCGTTCCGTCGAGGCAACCGATGGCAGCGTGATGTACTTCGGCATTGGAGTGCGCAGAGCAGTGCTCAACTGGAGGCTTGAGCACCCAACTAGTCGCCGGCTGCACGGCGTGATTGCGTTAGGGGAATCCCGTAAATGCAAAGGTGAACCTGCAGACATCCGGGTCCGGGAGGCCGAGGGCTTCTTGAAGCCTGCCGATCTTCGCGGCGTCCGCCATCCACAGAAAAGCCGACACCATGACTTGCAGGCAGCCCTGGCCAACTCGCAGAGATCCTTCTGCCTGGTTGGGGGCCGTGAATCCCGTATCTGCCCCAAAACAGGTAAGTGTTTCCTGTTTTTATCGACAACTTCAGGACAGGAGTCTGCCAACCCAAGTGACTTGCATGATGTAGCTTTCTGATGTAAGGGCTTCGGTAGTAAGTGAGCGACATGTTTCCATTGGCAGGCCGAGCAATGTTCTTGACCAGCAAGGTGACCGGCAGTGTCAGGTGCTAGTGGTGCAGCTCCACCAGCTCGGGGAAGTCAGATTAGCCCTGGTGGATCAAATCTGGCGTGAGTCTGTGAAGCGGAAGCAGCGAAGACTTGAAGATGGATCCATTTGGTTCTGCCGGAGAAAACAGGGAAAAACTCCCATGAAGCTACCGCCAAGTCCAGCGTCGCATGCCTCAAGAGGTCCAACCTCATCCTCTACGAAATTCCCGTGGGCGCTGTAGAAGAGGACTGGCGAGTGCTCTTCACTATAGAGAAACAGGCCGTGATGGAAGCGGTGGCGGTGCAGGATGCGAGGAAGCTCGCGGCTGCTGCTGGGTCTGGGGCTGGCGCTGGAGCCAAGACCAGCGCCGGCAAAATCTACATAGGGCAAAGCTTCATGCCAAACCGAGTCGGCTTCGATGCGTTGGAAAAACTACATGGAGTAGTGCAAGGACATGTGTCAGAGTCTCGCGCGGAGACCCGTGGTGGAGGACGGGATTGTCGTTGCGCTGCGGAAGGTGGGTGTCCTTTGTTTTTTTCGTTTCGTTTCATGCTATTTACGGTAACGGAAAACTTAATCCAGGACAGGCTCGGTGTTTCGAGAAGCGTGCAGGCCCAGCTGGGCGGAGTTGAAGGCTCGAGTGCCAGGCTTTTTCAACTTGTTGATCCGCGGAAAACACGCAGGATCCAATCCGTCTGCTTTTGTGAGAGGTGCGGCATACTCTGAAAGAGTATGGGGGAGATTTAGCATCATCGCTCCAATTTCAGATGTGAGCCACTTCTTGAATTTGCTCAAAAAAGATGTGCACTTGAACGGTCCCGGGGTCCTGCCGACTGCCTGAAAGCGGCGTACGTGACGATGTGCAGAGTCAGCGAGAAAGGATGTGTGCATTCTGGACTTCGCATAGTTCTGCAGAGGTACATGCTTGTAGGAAGGACCTAGGTGGGAGGCACTCGCCAGCCATTTCACATCCATGTCCGGCAAACCGATAATGGCTGGCAGGGGTCGGGGAGGTGAACGAGCTTACAGAAGGGTGATTCTTTGACCCTAAACTCTAAACCCGCGAACCCTAATCCCTAACCTCCTTAAAGCTTAAACCCTACACCCCCAAACCCGTAAACCCCCTCTCAACCCTAAACACCCAAACCCCTAAACCCAAGACCTTAAACACTAAGCCCTATAAATCTATAAACCTTAAATTTTAAGCCCGAGACCCTATCCTCAAGAAAGGCGGGTTCCATCGACAGTATCCTCGACTCCTTCTTCGGCTTCCTGCAGCGGCCGGCGGCTTAGGGTTTAAGGTTCAAGATTTAGGGTTTAGGGTTTGGGGTTTCGGGTTTGGGGTTTAGGGTGTAGGGTTCAGGGTTTAGGGTTCAGGATTTAAGGTGTATTTTTGTTTACAGTATGTTGTCCCTGCAGAGCCAAGGTTCAGTACTGAACTGTAATTGACTTCGCGGCAGCATTGGCTCAAGTGATTGGAAAACTTGGTTGCATGAGTGATTGCATTCTGAAGCTGACTGTATCGAGTATTTGATTGTTGGAGTCGTGAGTGCATTCCAGATATATTGAGAAGCACCTGTTAAGTTTTCATTTGCAGGGGGCTTCGGCCGCTAATCTTGTAGGGGTTTTTTGTGCAAAAGTTATGAGGTTTCATTAACGCGGTTTGTAAGGTTAGAAGGGATTGGTGTGCGTATATAATGGGTTTGCATTTTGTTTTTAGTGTTGTTGTTTTTGAGTGCGGCTGTCTTTTTCTAAATAGGGTTTTCTAAGCTTGATGTTTTTTAGGGGCTTGTTGGTCAGGTGAATTGAGTCGTTACGGTGCCCAGTTACTTTTCTTAAGCGCATGGAGTCTTCGCGATGTGCAGCTGGTTTTGAACGGGGTTTCAAGGGGCGAAGGTCTTCAGGGGGCAGTGGGTGTAGTAGAGTTTGCACTGGGGGGGGGGGGGGGGTTTCGATGTCTTGAGACCATGAAGACTCTGCCGGTTGTATGCTTCAACCCACTTCAAGCGGGCAGTTCGGGACTTGCTCTGGTTGCCCAGAAGGCTTTTATGAGCCTCAAGCCCCAAACCATAATCCCCAAAACCCCGACAACCCAATGACCTTCTAGAAAAGCCCCAAATCCCAAGCCTTGAGCCCTAAATTAAACTGAGTCACACACCATAAACCCCCAAACCCGAAATCCAGAGAAGCCCTCAGGAAAACGGACTTCTTTACGGGAGGTCAGGATGAACAGGCCAGCTTTGTTTGGAAGGCTTGGAGTTTACTAGGTGTCCCAATTGGCACCTTTTTCTTTTTTGTGGGCTTAGGTTCCATAGGAAACTGCACAATAGCAAAAACGGAGCCCTTGTTGCTCGTAGGTTACCGGGGATCACAGTTTCGGGTTTGGGTGGGGTTTTGGGTTTCAGGGTTGTGAGTTGGGTTCCTTTGCTTTCTTCAGATCTCTTGGGGTTGGTAACTAGACTTATAACCCATATTAGGGGACTTATAACCCCACTTATAACTACCCCTGAACCTCCAAATAGGGGTGGCTGGCATGAGGTAAAGCTTTTCGACGGATCAGTTTTCACAGCTTCGATCAGTCGCTGTCGTCGGCCACGCCGTGGCGTCTTTTGATGGCATTGGCGTGTTGATGGTGATATCAATGATAGTGATGCAAAGATCTTATCGTCAAACAGGTACCTGCATCAACATGCACGCAACCGCTGCCTTAGCCTAACACTACTGGGCAACCCTGTCAATAACGTTGGTTAGATGTGACAGGAACGACAACGGCAGACTGCCCGAACAAGACCATGCTGATGATAATGGCGCTGAAGTGTTGCTTGCTTGTCCGCTGGTCGCGTTGATTTTGGTTGTTTTCGTTGCTGCTGCGGCTGCTGTTGAACCCAGAAGATGTGAAGCAACCAAACGTTCCTTTCAGATCAAGTGAGTCCCCTTGTAAAGCGGAGGCCGCAGAGGAGAAGGTCTTGAAGTGCGCAGGGATCGCATTGCAAGCCTTCACTTCGAGTCTAGAGTCTAGAGGAAGTAGATAGTACAGTTGAACTAAGGACGAGTAAGCTTGTTAATGTAGGGGCCTTAATAATTTTAATAGGGGAGTGTTCTAGGGCTAGGAGTTCAACTATCCAGGGTACGTGGTTCATTTGCGGTCCGTGGTTTCCGGAAAATCCTCCTATCAAGCCTCAGTCCCGGGCTGGCTTATGCCTCGGATCTTAACTAACCCCACTGAACCCTAAACCCTACTCTTCCCTAGGTCTTACAGACCTACCTGCCATGCTGGAAGCTCCTCCCCTGAAGATATCAGAGAGCACAGGGCACCACGAAGCCCTATAACTATAATTCAAAAATGGCCTGGTTTTTTCTTTTAGGGCTTAGGGGTTTTCGGTTTAGGGCTTAGGGTTTTAGGGTTGGAGCGGGGGTGTAGGGATCAGGATGGCCACACCCTGAAGCCTACATCCCTACAAGTCCGAGGTACTACAAGAAGCACTGGAAGATGGGCCAGAAGCGGCGGCAGGCCGGGCCGTGTGTGTGGGTGGTTGTCAAAATTAGGGTCCTTTGTTGGGTGCCCTAAATAATAGGTGCGGTACTATAATGGGGACCCAAAAAGGGACCCTAATTTTGACAACCACCCATGTATAGGGTTTAGGGCTTGATACCATGCACAGAAAGCCCTATACCTTGGCCCTAAGTCCCACCCCCCCCTCAAAAACGCTTGAATGCTAAACCCCTGTATTGCCTAAAACCTACTTGCAGGTTCATGGGTAGGTATAAGTGAGGTTATAAAACCCATATTAGGGGACTTAGAAGTCCATTTATAACTACCCTTGAACCTCCAAGTAAGCCACAAAGGCCTCATCTTCTTCACACGGGGCTTTTGGAGGCTTGTGGATTCTCGGAGTCCAGGCTTTGATTTAAGGAGCAAAGCCTGAGCCTCTCCAAACCCGAAGCCACAAAGCCCTAAGGCCTTGACGTTTTAAAACCCGTAGATTGGAGCGAGGGGCTCAGTTGCCCTACTTATAACCCACTCATAGCTGCCCATGAACCTCCAAGTTGGGTTTAGGCAACACAGGGGTTTGGGATTCGGATCCCGGCAACGGCAAATTGCTTCGCTTGCTAGGCTTCTAGTGGGGTTCTGCACTGATTTCATTTGACGCGTTTATAGGATTCTATACGGTAAACCCAAAGCGCTAAACTCTATACCCTGAACCCTGAACCCTAAACCCTATACCCTCGGCAGGCGGAAAAAGGCATTCAAAAAAAACACTACACCCTAAACCCTGAACCCTAAACCCAAAGCCCTAAACTCTATACCCTAACCCCTGAACCCTGTACCCTAAACCCCGAACCCCATCAGAAGCAGGAGCAGCAGGAGAGAAACCGAGTCGCCGACGAGGAAAGGAAGAGAAAGGCCGACGAGAAGAAGAAAAAGGACCGTCCCCTCCTTCTTTGGGGTTTATAGGCTTTGGGGTTTATGCTTTATGTTCGTCTCTCTTAAGGTTACCTTAAGCCGGAACGCCTTTCTTAAGGTTACCATAACCTACCTTTTTAGGGTTCCTTACTATGGTTTCCTTGTATAAACCCTCAAAAACCTAGGTTATTCTGACTGTCCCATCCCTTTTTCTTCGCCTCTCTTGAGGTTAGGGCTTAGGGTTTAGGGTTTAGGGTTTAGGATTCGGTCTTATGGGGGGTTTATAGACTGTCCTATCCTTTTTCTTCGCCTCTCTTAAGTTACCTTAAGCCGGAATAACCTACTTTTGTAGGGCTCCTTACTATGATTTCCTTCTGTAAGTCCTTAAAAAGGTAGGTTATTCCGGCTTAAGGTAGGGCTTAGGGTTTAAGCTTTGGGGTTTATGCTTTACGGGTTAGGGTCAGGGTTTAGGGTTTAGGGCAAAGCCAGGGTTTAGGGTTTAGGGTTTAACTAGGGTTGGCAGGGTTCAGGAAGGAGCTCACATAGCCCAGTATCTCCCTAGAGCCATGAGCCTATGCACCTTCGCTATGACAAGTTGATCCGCCGCAATGCTCTGTGAAGGGGTGTGGCTGGAGGTCTTCCCTTGAAAAGCCCCAAGCCCTAGCCTAGCCCTTGGATCAGCAGCTCGTGCGGAAGCCCTGCTGCCGGGGCTTGAGGGTGTCCTTAGCCGTGCCAGATAGCAGCTGTCCAGGTTATCTTGTAGGTTTAGGGTCATAGGAGGCCGAAAGGGGTTTTGGGGGGTTTAGTAGGAGTAGGGTTCCCATAATAGGGTTCATATTAAGGAATCCCTACCCCAAGAATCTTAAACCCCCCCTTTTGGCCTCCCATCATAGGGTTTACTTGGAGGGTCGGGGGACTTAGTAAGTAGACATATAAGTACCCTAAAAGGGACCCTAATTGGGGTTATGGTACTTATAACTCCCCGAAGCGCGAGGGCCTACGCCAACAACCTGTAACACGCAACGCGCAAACCCCAAACCCTAAGTGCCCAAATCACCGAAGCCCAAGCCGCGCATAAAAGGACGAGGAGGAGTACAGAAAAAGAATGGAGGAGGCACAGGGTCAGACTTCTGGAAGTTTGTATTCATTTCTTTGCTGCGGTTTAGGGTTTCGGGCTCGGGGTTGAGGGTTTAGAGCCTCAGGGTTCAGGGTTTAAGGGTGTAGCTAGAGTTTAGGGGTTTGATTGGGCTTGGGTTACTTGGGTTTAGGGTTTAGGGGTTTAGGGGTTTAGGGTTTAGGGACTTCTCTACTCTTATCAGAACTGCGCACTTCTCATTGCTGCCGTACATCCAAGAGCCCGGAGTTGTGAAAGCCTCAGGCCTGAGCATCGATCCTGAAAGCCCCAGAGCGAACCCCACTTGGAGGTTCATGCATAGCTATAAGTAGGGTTATAAGTAGGATAACTATGGTTACAACCTGTATTAAGGGACTTTTAACCCCACTTATAACTACCCATGTACCTCCAAGTAGACCCTAAACCCTATATAAAGGTATAGAATCCCTATGGATCCCTTTAAAGGGACCCTTAAAGGAACCCTTATAACTACCCGAAACCGAATGGAGGCGCAACCTCTAAACTAGCTGGAAGCTCGGAGCCCTAAATGGGACTTTCCGAAAATTGGGACCCGGATATGGAACCCTAAATAGTAGGATCATTCTTTTCGGGACCCCAAAAGAGTTTACGCCAAATTTTCGGAAACTCCCAAACCTCTAAACCCTAAACCCTTTATAGAACCCTTATAGTACCCTTAAAAGTAACCCTTTTTAGGAACCCTGACCGAACTCCCAAACCCGAGAAGCTCTAAGCCCAAAACCCCGCAGCCGGCCAGCAGCTCGAAGGCCCTTAAACCGATTTATTAGCTGAGTGGATACACTTTACACTTTTTGGGGAAACATTACCCACTCTAAGACGAAAGGTGTAGATTTGGGGCTTGTGAACTCAGCAACTGAGCCGAAAAGTTGAGGGTTTCGGTCAGAAGGCCATTGAAAGGGTTTTCAGGAGGGTCTTGTGAGGGTTTTCAGAGGGTTTTCACAGGATTTTCTCAAAGGGTTTGATTAAGTTTCCAAGCAGTTCCCTAAGCTGGTGAGGTTGCATGTTCGCGGACTTTTATCTTGAGAGCTCTGTTGCTTGTGCTTAATACTTAAGCTGGAGGTCCTAAACCCGAGGTGGTAAATCCCAAGCCTCATTCCCCCAAACCTCAAGTCCTTTGAAACTGCACCTTCTCTGACCCTGCAGTTTGCCCCATGAATCGGTTTCGGGTTGAGAATTTGGGGTTGAGGGGTAGGGTTTTGGGTTTAGATGTGGGCGGGCGGGTGGGGCTGAGGACTATGAAAGTCTATTCGGATTTTGTTGACTGATGTGGCGGTCGGTGAATTCTGTGTATAGTGAAGGCTTTTTGTTCCAAACCTTAAACCCAAGACCCCAAACCCTAAACCTGACCTTAAACCCCAAACCCTAAGCCCTAAACCCTAAAGCGTAAACCATGAAGCCTAAGCCCTTTCAGAGTTGGGCGGAGCCTGCTCGAGTAACGTAGAGATCCTTGCCACAAGGCGGAGAAGAGCAAGGCGAACGTGTGCTGCCGCCGAGATTTCCGACCGAGCTTGCGATGAGAGGGGCTTTCGGGTTTAGGGTGTTGGGGCTTTAGGGTTCACAAAGTTGTAAGAGTACTCTTGCATCGTCCTCATATGATCACGCCATACTTCTAGCAATTCAGGCCTCATATCAGGCCTGTCGTTATTAGTTTTGGGGCTTGAGGTTGGGGGGTCTGCGGCGGCTTCGCGGCTTCCATGTATCAACGATTCGGAAGCCCTCAAAGCCCGGAAGCCGCGATTCAGTCGCAGGGCCCAGGAAACCAATGCCTTGAGCCACCAATTCATGGCCCAAGTCCAGACCATCATACTTGGAGGCCCTTTTGACTTAGTAAGTAGGGTTAGTAAGGTTAGTTATGGGGATTATAATAGGGTTTCTAGGGGATACTAAGTAGACTTACTAAGTCAAAAGGGCCTCCAAGTAGGGACCCTTCCTATACTTCCTTGAAGGGGCCGTCTCAGGTCCTTGTTAAAGGTATTAAGGCCCCTACCCCCCTCCCCCCTACCCCCCTAAGGGTCCTTCTGAGACCAGATAACGGCTTGACTTGCGTGTTTAGCGCTGACTTGGGAAACTGAGACTGTTGAGTCACGGAGACGTAGGGGGAATGGAGGAATGGGGTACAAGTATAACTACAATTACTACCATTCTTCCATTCCCTGCTAACCAAAGGTAAGTCCAGAAGGGTGCACTTACGATCGTGTCACACCCAAGTACTGTAGCCAATGTCCTGAGACTGAGGCCGAAGGTGCAGCAGTACTAGGAGTTATTGGAGAGCCACCCAAACCCTATTCCAATGGTAAACGCCACGAATATTAAGCCGTATATAGCCCGTAAAAGAACCTTACATTAAAGAAGCTCTTAGCAAAGCTATGCTGACAAGTTCGCATTAAGCCCCGAATCTTAAACCTTAAGCCCTAAACCCCTAAACCCTAAACGCCAGACCCGAAACTCGAAACATAAGACCTATGCCCTTAAACCCTAGACCCTAAACCCCAAACCCTAAAACCATAAAGCCCTAAGCCCTAAAAACCGAAACCTCCTGACATCTTCTGGGTTACCATTCTTAAACTCCTTAGCCCTTGAAGGAACCCTGATAGATCCCTAAAAGGAGCCCTTATAGATCCCATTATGGTAACTTAAGTTCATCCCCTTAACAAGACCCTAGTCTTACCTCCGAAATTTGCCAGGGCCGGCCTAAAGCCCTAACCCCTAAACCCTAAACCCTAAACCCTAAACCCTAAACTCTAAAGCCCTAACCCCTAAAACCGTAAAGCCCTAATCCAGCATCTTCCCTCCGACCTCTACTTATTGTATTTATAGAATAATGGGGCCCCAAGCCCCTATTCTAATTATTACGGCCCCTACACTATAGTACCCTTATAGTACCCCTTACAGTCACCTTTTTAAAAGGAACCCTTAAAGATACCCTTTAAAGGAACCCCCTTTTACTGTTGATGATATAAACCCTGCATGGCCCATAATAAGGAATATACCATAATTCCCATAGTTTAGGGTCCTTCAGGTAATGCAGGATTTATATCATCAACCGTAGTACCCCCTATAGTAACCCTTTTAAAGGAACCCTGAAAGATACCCTTTAAAGGAACCCCCTCATAGTACCCCCTATAGTAAGCTTTCCGACCTCTGCCAGGCCCAAGATCGAAGAGGTCACGGAAGAGGAAGCGAGCCAGATCAAGGCAGTGGGCCCTTTGGGCTAGAGGGATATGGGGGTTTAGGGGTTATGGGATTTTGGGGGGTCTAGGGGTATTAAGGTTTGTTCAGAGGTTTAGGGGTTTAGGGGTTAAGATGGGTTTAAGGTTTGTTTGGGGATTCAGGGTTTACGGTTTAGGGTTTTGTGCCTACAGTGTTTAAGTTTAGGGGTCAAGATAGGTTAACTAGGATGCCCAGTAGTACCCTTATTCCCTTTTTGTAGTCCTAGGTTCCTTATAAAGTTACCCAATACCAAAAAGAGAGGCCTTTTTATTCTTAGGTTACTGGGTTGCCTAGTTAAGGTTTCTTGAGAGTTTTGGGGTTGAGAGCTTGGATTTTGGTCGAGGTTGGGTTCTTCGGGCCTAGAATATTTCGGGGTTAAGATGGGTTAAGGGTTTGTAGTTTTTTCGGTTTAGGGTATCGTTAAGGCCCCTACACTACAGTGCCTATAGGATTTAGGGGTTAAGATGGGTTAAGGTTTCTTTTCGCCATGGCGTGTGCACGCATAGCAGCATATTGCATGATGAGCTCTTGAGTCATGTGGGCCTTCCGCTGAGTGCGGTCCAGGAGCTTCCGAGGTCCTGCGTTCCCTGTTGGGCTTTGCAGGAGGAGCTGCAGTGCATGCTGCCGCCTCGCAGGAAATCCAGAGCCTTCAGCCCGAAGACGTAAAAGCGGCAACTCCACGGCCTTCCTCTGCGGTCGGCCCTGCTGTTGCACCCGCTATGGGCAAGGCATTGCCGCGGTTACAAGCGACAGACACCGAGGGAGACTCCCCTGTACTCGCTTCTGGGGATGGGCAAGTGCCGCCGAGCAGACACTTCTTACGGACGGTTCAGGCGGACAGGCATCTGGATTTGTCGACCACTGTGCTACACATGGTTTTCCTGGATTACAGTGCCTACATGTCCTAGGGGTTAAGATCGGTTGGGATTTTTTAGGATTTTTAGGGTTCAGGGTTTTAAATTTTTTTGGGGGGGGATTGAGAGTTTAGGGCGACGGGTTTAGGGATTTGAGGCTTAACGCTTCCCAGGGCCGGTTTAAGGTTGAAGGTCCGGGACCCGGGGTATTGCTGGTTTAGGGTTTAGGGTTTAGGCTTTAGGGTTTAGGGTTTAGGGCAGTTAGCATAGTTAAAGCTATAGTCTCCTTAGGATTTTTTGTTTTTGTTCATATAAAACCCAAGAGAATATTAGAACTATTATTTTCACTATGTTTCTAAAGGGGGGTAAGGCAAAAGGTTCCTCTAAGAGCTACTGCAAAGGTCCTCCATGGTAAGTTCATTCCTCATAGCTCCATGCTCTCTTATTTCAAATGCTACTATAAGGGTTTGTGGTTTAGGATGTATTGTAGTATAGGGACTGGCAGTTGGAATAGGGTTTTGGACATATAGCTGTCACCCTGACGGACAGTATTCGTAGCTAGTCAGTCTTCTATCTTATTGCCTCTAGGGGCGGAGGCGGAGGGTCAAAACCTGGCTTTGCATTTACTTGTGTTGAGTATCTCGTACACGGCTATGACTGTTAAGAAATAGCAGTGTAAGACATTTATACTTTTTGTTTGCCTCGAAACTATAGGGTGTAGGTTGAAAGAGCTGACTCCTTGGTGCGGTACCCACGTTCAGCAAATATGGGTATAGCTAGAGAGTGCCGGGTCAAGGCAAACGGTTTGGAGCACTTTGTGTTTCTAGTGTGCTGTAGGCAACGTAGGAGTTCCGCTGGCCCCTAAACCCTAAACCCGTACAGGATTCGGCATGTTCTAAGAGCACAGGGGCGTTTGCATTCCAGGGCTGAGGCTTCAGATGTTATGGCATTCGGACTTGCGCTCTTCATATTCCCGTGTCCTTCAGAAGGGTTTTGGAAAAAACTCTAAACCCAAAACTATCATTCTAAACCCTAAGCCCTAAACCCTAAACAAACAAAATTTATCATTCTGTTGCTGTTTGCACTGCAGCATTGGCTTTCCCTGCCTGCGGGTTCCGTCAGCTATCTGGGGCCTCTCGGCCTCTTGTTCTCTAGTTTGATGGTGAAAGCTTACTGCGAAGTGCATTCTGAATGTGGAGGCGGACAAAGCCAAAAAGAGCAATGACGAAGAGGGCGGAGAGGCTCGGCCCCCGTTCATAGCTTGAAGCATACTAGCAGAAGATCTAAGCGTTTAGGGAGCAAACCTACATGAGTAGAGTGTGGGGCTCAGGATGTACAGTGGAGGCTTGGGTCGCACCTGGCATGCGCTTATGCTGAAAGCTTCAGTGATCTGAAGACATGTGTTTAGCCCCGATACCCTAGACCCCGAAGCGTAATTCCTTCATTCCTGACGCCCAACGCTTCATCCTTGGACCACAAGTCTTAGACCTTGAGCCTATGTGACTCTATCGGGGTGTACAGTAGGGGCTTTGGGGTGTTTCTGGCGTTCTATTAAGGGTTGCATAAGGGTTCTCTGACTGTTGCGGTGGTCCCAACTCAATTGAGCCAGACGTCGGGGTACGGAAGTTGTAGTTTAGGAGCCAAAATAATTATCAATACTGTTTTGGGGGTTCCTTATTCTAGTTATAGTATATTATACCCCAAAGCCCTATTCTAATTACTAAGGCTACATTAGTGTGATGATTCTGGTGTGCTTCGTCCCTCGGGCATGGCATCGATGTATGCGAGACATGTGCAAATCACGCAGGGTTTAGGGTTCTTGTTAAGGGATTTTTTAATTTGAGTAACCATAATAGGGGTGTTTAGTAAATAATATGGTTTCCTTATTATGTCATGCCTATTTCATTGTACGGTCGAAACGTCTGTATTCCGTTGTCATGGTACCTTCAGATCTTGACATCCAGAAACCCAGCAGTGAGGAAGCCGCGAATGCTCTTACCGTGACTTGCTTCCGTCACATGGATTACGTTGATGAATTCAGGTCTGCCGGTCGGAGGTGCCTCAAAATGCAGGGAACCCCAATGCCATGTCTCAGTTTTGCCAACGCGGGAGTCCCATAGCTAGTAGAGACGCTCTTACCAAGCGGTGGCTTGGATGCGTGACATGCCGTGTTTGCACACAGCCCTGACGCGTCCATGAGCTTCAACATTCAACTTAAGTGGCCATCGTTGTTCATGTGGTGGGGCACGGCGAGGTCGTGCATGTTTGCTCTGTCACCAGCGTCTTTGGCCAGGTGTTGAGTGTTGACATGTAGCACCTGGAACACTGATGGCCGCCAGTGTTTGAGCCGCTTTATTCGTGTTGAATGTGTTAAATTGTTAACTACCATAGGGTTTTGGGCTGTATTATGCTGCACTTGTATAATAGGGACGATAAGGGATTCCTAATTAGTAGTTTTTAGGGCTTCCATACGTTCACATGTGAGATACCTAGTTCATGGGTTGCCATGCTGTCTATGAAAGCATGGTGCAGTGTACTCCACATCCGTAGTCAAGACAATAGCAAGAACTCCGTGAAACCCGTTCCTTGCCATGTGCATTCTTATATAGACGCACAGTTAAATCCTAAACCCCACGTCTTCAGAAACCATAGACCCTACACTTCTCGGCAGTGTTTGGAGGTCCGGATTCTAGCAGTAGGATTTGACTCGAAAAAGAAAAGCCTGCAGCCTCCGAATCGGGCTCCCCAAATCAGGGTTATTGTTGGGTCCATGGTTTACGATTGAGGCATTGCGTACCTGTTTGGATTTGTCCAGACTTCGACGTTGCACAGGACAAGGAGGCAGAGGAGAAGGAAGACAAAGAGTGCGGACTCCGAGATCAATGGTTCTTCACTAGCGGAGTACGCGAAGGTTCGCGACGTTTTCCACATACTGCTCTTGCATTGTTTTTTCTGTTCTTCATGTTTCATCCTCGTACAGTGATTGCTTTCGAACAACAATAACAGACCCAAATACGCGAACACCCAAAGCCGCCACAACTACAGCAATCACACTAACACCAGCGGCACCGCAACTTCAACTACACCTACAACCACGACCACAGCGACGACCTTGCTTCTGCTAAGGTCTTGAACATGTTTCCTCGTGCCGCAGGTTGCGAGCTGGTTCTAAGAAGACCAATCAACTGCTTTCGTTTTGCATCCATGGCGACCAGTGCCCCGCTCCTGGGTAAGGAGGGCAAGGCCGCCCATAGCAAGGCCTCCATCTTCTACGGAGCGGACGAGTATCTTGAGGAGCTGAGTACGTAAGCTGCAGCTGTTGGTAGTAGCATTGCTATTAGTACTGTGAGTGTTTTGAGTATTTTTGGGTGTTTTGAGGACCTCGGCATCATGCTGTCCAACCACCCCCCCAAAAAAAAAGGGTTTTGAGGAGCTGAAGAAGAAGAGGCATCATGACGCCTGGAGTGCCCGCTTGGGTTGGCCACAGCCAGGGGAGTCAACAGCTTGTGCTAAAGGAAGATTACAGTTTCTGGCCTCTATTCGTGCTGCATGCCGTGAGGTCGGCGGTTTCCTTCCTGACGTTTGATTTGGTTTTTCAGTGCATGCGGCTGCTCAAGTCCTCGTGAGCAATCTCGGAGGCTTGTGTGGCAGAACCCTTTTCACTTTCAGTACGAACACGACCACGAAATTGCAGCCTTGAAGAATGCTCTTCCAGGCGAGGGTGATCCCAACGCGGCTGGTGTTGCCCAGAGCAACGACAAGATGCTCTCCGTTCAGAAGAACAATGAGAACAGGAGCCTGAAGACCAATCGGCTCTTCCCGACCCCGAACAAGCCAGACCCGATGCCGCAGAACTTGGCATTCCTCTTCACCAAGATCACGCCGGACCGGGGTGCTGCGTTTGACCATTCTTTGGGTTGGTTCCTTGTTCATAGAGGGGATGGTAGCGTACAAAAGGCTGTTGTGTTCGTGCCCAAAACCTCTGTCGCAGGAGCAGATGATCTATATGCACTTTGTCATAGTTGGGTAGCATTTTACAATTTTATGGGTATTTGAAGCATGTAAGGAATAGACATTGTCACGTTTAATACTATCCCAACCATTATAGGTGGAATGTACTTACCGCAATTTTCTGCACACAAGTACTGATGGTGATCGGCTACTGTGCAGCCTTGGCTACCTTCCCGGACTACTGGTGGACCTGCACGCTCTGCTTCGGCATCCCGTTCTCGTACATCGCCATCCAGAACATCTACATTGATCACGATGTGATGCATGGTGCCACTTTCCCGGTTTACGAGTGGCAGCGCTTCTTGACTCATCCATTTGCGGATTTTTTCAGCTTGCCGTGGGAGGAATTCGTCCTGGAGCACAACAGGCATCATGCCTCGACGGTTGACCTGCTCATCCAGGGTGAGTTCGGCTGGGACCCCGAGGAGTTCCACTACGCCCTGCAGCAGTGGGCCGGGCCATGGGGCTCCAACTGGTACAAGTACCTGCTCACGGTCCCGTTCATCCCGCTGATCCATTTCTTCGGCCTGAACGACACCGGCTCGTTGTTCGCCCTGGAGTGGTGGATGCACTTCCCCGATGAAGGTGCAGGTGGAAAGTGCAACAAGGAGCTTCCCAACTTAAATAGATTTGTGTTGTCCATCCGGAGTAGAGTAAACCTCCCGTGCTTCTGGCTTCTGTGCTGGCACACTTCGTGCTCAGGTTCTGGAGCAAGTGGATTCCGCGCCGCATCAAGCACAATGCGTTCGTGCTCGGCCTATGGACCCTTGTGTGGCTGTTGGGCACCTACCCTTTGGGACGTCCTCTCACCGAGGGCTGGCGTTTCATGTTTACCGTGTCCTTCTTTGCCCGCGTCGGCTACTCGGCGGCCTGGATGTTTATCACTAACTTCACACATAGCTTGCCTTGGAACGAGTTCCTGGCGCAAGATCCGGGCCGTACCTGGCCGGTGCTTCACAACGTGATGGCCATGGTTCTGGGTGGAAAGCACCGCTGGAACGAGATGCTCTTCCACGACGTGGCTCGCCTGTACTGTATTCGTGACGAAAGTGACCGCACAGTGTAGGGACACGAGCCTCAATTATCAAGATGTGTTGTAAAATGTAGTTTAGCATAGATCGACCAGGTGCATCATGCTTTCCCCAATGCGGTCGGCACGCTGAGCCAGCGTGGCCGCTTCCACGGCTGGGAGAAGGCACATAGTCAGGTTGAGGTGTGAATTCTAGTAGACTATAAGATACCATCATATACTTTCGTTGGCTATTATTGTATATGATTGTACATTATGATATGTGTCAGTGTAATCACTCTAGTAGATGCTACATATTGTAGCATATTACAGCATATTTCATATACTGTCGTCTGTTGTCGTATTCCGTCGTATGTTATCATATATGATCGTTCATCATCGTACATTATCGTATATGACCGTATGCAATCGTATACTACAATACCGTATGGTACAGGACAGTATATTATGGTACATTGCCGGTTTTAAACCCTGAACTCCAAAAAATGTGTGTTTTTCTGGCTGGGTGGGGTTTCCTGGAAGCTGCATTGGCCTTCGGGACTGGCGTTTCGGACTGCAGTGTAGAGGAGTCGAGAGTCTACTATGGCATATGATGCTGTAGTATATCTTGCTACATCATAGTATTACAAAACATACAACAGCATATTATAGTATGTTTGGAGTTTATGAGTTCAATAGTGTCGAGGCTTTAGGGTTGAATTCGGGTTTAAGGTTTGGGGCTTCATTCGGGTTATTTGTTTGGGGGGTTTAAGGCGGGTTTAGGGTAAGCTGACAAGTCGAACGTGACCAAAAAGGGTGGTTGGTATTTCTATGTCTTGCACCCCAATACTTGACTTGTGATTACTTAACCGAGAAGCCTTAACACCTAAAGCACTACGATAAAGTATTAAGCCCTAAACCCCAAACCCCAAACCCATAATCGCCAACCCCAAGCCTTTAAACCCTAAAAGCGTTAAGCCCTTAAACCCTGGAAGCCTTACACTAGAAGCCAGAAAGTTGGAATATCATTATGGTAACCCCTTTAAGGTAAATTATAGGTGATCCTACCATTAATCCATATTCCAACTTTCTGGAGTTCCCTTTAAGCCCTTAAACCGCAAAAGCCTTAAGCCCTAAACCCTAGAGCTTACGCCCTGAACAATTAGAGCCTCAAGCCTTAAACCCTAGAGCCTTACCCTAGACCCTACTATAGGGGCCTTGATAATTATCTATACTATTTTGGGAGTTCCTTATTGTAGCTATAGTATAGTATACCCCAGAACCGCATTCTGATTATTAATGCTCCTATCTAAGATATTAAACTCCACAGGTGCACGATGCCGCCGCTGAAGTCCTCCACAGAGGCCTCTGGCAGAGAGCTGTATGACCTTGAAATTCTAGCGTTTAGGGTTTAGCAATGTTTAGGGTTTAGAGTTTGGTGGTTTATTGATTCTTTTCGGTTCCGGGCCCGAAAGCGAAAACTGCGAGGGTTTTGTTTTCTGGTTTAGCTGTCTGTTTACAGAGGTCTTTTTGGGACCTTCAACCTACGAAAGCTTCCTAAAACAAACGAGGCATCCTTTTGCGACGGTTTAGAGCCGTCTAGGGTATACCTGAACCCTAGAACGTTTGGCTTTGTCATTGTTATGATGTCCTTGTATGGGTCCTTTGAAAGGCATGTTTCCGGGGTTCAGGTATTGCTTTCTTCCGGGGCATTGCGCTGTTTGGACTCCCTGGGCAGTGTAGGGCCTACGCTCTAGCACTCAACGCTTCCAGGGTAGCGTGGGCTCTTGGGGCATAGGGCTTTCAACATACGGTCTCGGGCTTGGGCTTTTCTGTTTAGGGTTTAGGGGTTTTATAGGAGTACTTAGAAATACTTTTTAATTTTTGGTTATTACAACCCCTAAGAAAAAGCCAAAATTATAGTTTTTCCTAGGGTTCTAAGTTCAGTATAGGTTTGGGTTTTCGGTTTGGGGTGTGGGCATGGTCGTTCGGCCGATCTGGGGGAGCCCGAAGCATGCACTTGGAGGGTCGGGGGACTTAGTAACTGGTTATTTTAGGGACTTATAAGTACCAGAACCCCAATTAGGGTCCGTTTTAGGGTACTTATAAGTCTACTTACTACCTACTTACTAAGTCCCCCGACCCTCCAAGCATGTCCTTTCCCTCAAGCCCTGGTCTTTGGCGCCACTTTCTTGAGATCCCAGGTAGTAGGGTTCTTTCATACCAGGACTCCTAAGGACATCAAGACCCCTAAATCTTAGATTCAAGAAACCCCTAAGCCATAAACCCTTAACCTTTAAGCCCTCAATCTTAAACCCCTCCCCCTCGCCCGGGATATGGAGGCCTGTGGAAGCCCAATGGCGACGAGGAGACCCAGATGCAGAAGACCCAGCCCCGTGGAGGAGGATCAGCATGATTTTTGCTGCCTGCGGGGCTCCGTGTGCATCCTCAAAGTAAATGCAGAGCTAGACTCTGATAGAAACCCTAAGCCCTTGATCCCCTCCAAACACTCATCCCGAAATACTAGGCTCCCGAAACCCGCAATCCGAAACCCTTCACGCACATGTTTCGTTCGCCGCGGCTCTTCGCCCGATGACCGTGCATTGTTACAGGTGAGCGCAGAGGCAGAACGATAATGATAGTTATACTGCGCATAACCCTTATGATAGTAGTGGCAATGATAACGATACCAACAGTATGAACAATGCTGCTAGTATAACTTGTTTAACGATGTAAAGAATCATGCTAGTGATAGCAGCAATACTACTATTCCTGATACGGGTCAGGGCGCAATGTGCAGCTTAGGATTGGGATGTTGAGAGCATCGCGTGGGTGTTAGCTTATATGTGGCTTGAGGGTTGAGTTATGTGTTAGAACAGGGATGTGTTGAGAGCAACCAAGGAAGAAGCGGTCTTTGATGATGAAGCAGGGCAAGTGAGCCCCCTCTTCTGATTCCAACATGTTATTTCAGCTTCCGGGCAACCCGTGAGAGCTCTGTACAGAGAGAGTCCGCCACCAGCCACGGTGGCTGTCATCCTTTACTCCTTAATTGGCACATGCCCTGTGGGCCGACGTCGCTTCCCACGCTTCTCAGAAGCTTGCTGGGAAAAAAGCATTTGCTGGTTTCTGCTCTTGCGATGGTGCCTGGTGCTGCTGTCAGCCTTTTCGTCGGAGCATCGCCCAACCTGAGCTACAAGACGCCTAACCCCAAACCCAAAGCCCGGTACCCTAAACCTGCAACCCTGGACTCCTGGAGCTTAAACCTGCAACCCTGGACTCCTGGAGCTTACATGGAGCATCGAGATGCACGGTGCTTAGGGGTGTGGGTGTGCGGGTTCAGGGTTTACGGTTCTGGCCTTCGACGAGCGTGCATGTAGCGGTTCAACTTGGACAGTTTGTGCAAGGTTCAAACCGCGAAACCCTTAATCCAAAACCCAAAACCCTAAAGCAAGCACCAGGCCTCCTCCACCGGGCAATGGTGGCAAGACTGCCGTGACCTCAAGGGGAGCCAAGCTGTCTGGGCTTGAGGGTGTAAAACCTTACCAAGCCCTGAATCCAAAACCTTACCTTAACCTACCAAACCCTACTTTTTTGTAGGCTCTTATTATAAACTCTAATATGGAATTTTTAGGGCCCCTACAAAAAAGTAGGTTCTTGTAGGTTAAGGTACATCCTTTACAGGGATCCTGAATCTTCCACCCAACGCACTCCGCAGCGGCTGCAGCTGCAGCAGTCGATCGCGCGAACAGTTCTTTTTCTCCAAGGGTGCACGCAAATCAAACAGTCGTTGTGACCCTCAATCCCCAGCCTCTTGGGGACCCTACACCCTAAGCCCTGAACCCTGAATCCTAAGCCCTAAACCTTAAACTCTAAATCCTAAACTCTAAACCCTACACCCTAAACTCTAAACCCTAAACCCTAAACTCTAAATCCTAAGCCAGGAGAAGTATACCTGGACTCAGACCTTGGGCGCGCTCGAGGTCTTCGTCCACGTGCCTCCAGGTCGGTCGACGAGTCGGTTTAGAGTTTAGGGTTTAGGATTCAGTGTTTTAGGATTTAGGGTTTATAGTTAGGGTCAAGGGTTTAGGATTTAGGCCTTTAGGATTTTAGGGTTTTAGGAATTTAGGAATTTAGGATTTCGGGTTTAGGATTCAAGGTTTAGGGTATAGGGCCGTTTAGGGTTAAGGCTTTCGGGATTCCCGGAGCGTCCAAAACCTTTTAGCTGGGGATTATGCCCTAATATGGAGGGATCCTTGCTGAAGACTTGGGAGGTATTGAGGTATTCTGGAGTCTCTTGGTTTAGATATCTGAACTAACTCCTAAGCCCCGACCTCATCGCAAGTTTCGGGTTTAGAGATCTTTTGTTTCGGGGCCCAGGATTTGTGGTGTAGGTAATATTTCGTGCTAGTTTTCTTTGTTGGCATGAGTTTCGGGGCCACGTTTTCATGTGCACGGCGTTTCATAAGGTTCTTAGAGTCTTAGATGTTTCTAACGGACAGTTTGGAATGACGCTGTACGAGGGTTTCAGTGGCATGTGTGGAGGTTCATAAGGGTTCATGCCATGCGGCTTCCCAGGCCCAACCCTGATATTATCTCACCCTAAATAGAACCCTTATGACGTCCTAGTTGAACTTCGGAAAGAACCTTTATTCTATCCCTTCAGAACCCCTAAAGCACCTTCTTGGCGCCCTCATAGAATCTCTAGAACCCGGACAGAACTTGTATACTTCTGCAAGCAGACCTATCTAACACTGTAGAGCTTTTACATTTCCTTGATGGCTTCGCGGCCTGTTCCATTCTTATTACCATCAATACTACTACTAATATTATGAGCATTAGTTATGACTGCTCCTACTGTGACTACGATTATAAGCTTATTCTTATGGAAGTCGAATTACTGTCGATAGTATTGCTGTGACCATCACAAGTATCTTAATGTTTGCCGTGACCTTTTTTTGGCGCTTGGGGTGTAGGGTTGGGTGGCTAGGAGTAGGAGGTTGGTGGACTTGGAAGTGTAGTCCCCAAGACTTGGTGCCGAGTTGAGGGTCAGGGGGGGTTGAGACCTAACCCGACAATGGGTTTAGGGTTAAAATTAACAGGGGCAGAGATTCAGGGCACAGCGGCTGCAGGCAGCAAGGCTAAGCAGATCATCTGCGACAAAAGGGACCCTAATTTTGACAACGTTAATATAGTACCCTTATACATCCCTTATAGGCCCTCTTAAAGGAACCCTAGTCCAGTACCCAACAGGCAGCAAGGCTAAGCAGATCATCTGCGACATTGGCGGTGACACCCTGAAACTGGGTGCTTCGGCTGTCGAGTTACGTAGCCAAGGCAGAGGTCGAAAGTGCATCTATAGGCTTGTCATGACATACCCCGAGACCTTGATTAAACTACCCAGGCCCCTTTATTCAACGTCTTTGCCTCGATTCTCGGTATGTTCAATTTTCCTTAAGCCGTCATCCTCAACCCTCAGCCCCGCGCTTCCAGAATTGGGGTATCAATGCTTAGCCCCTCCACGAATCACACGCGAAAGCCTGCAGCCCCAAAAGTTTATAAAGTCCCGGCTCTACAGCAGCCCAAGAAGGCAAGCTTAAATTCCCAAGCACTTAACCCAAAAGCCTGAACCCCAAGCCCAACACATCCCATACCACAGCGAACCCCGAAAATCCTAAACTGGGGTCTCAGCTTCAGGGTTTTGGTGTATCTGGATTCTAAAAATTTCGGGTTTGGATCGTTGGGGCTTAGTATTCTGCAGAATTCTCCGTGCCGCTGTGATCATGATTACTAAGCCCACCCTACCCCCCCCTCCTCACCAGAAGCCTCTGAATCATAGGGTTTTTAGAATATTTCCAGTGTCGTTGTGACCTCACAGAGCCTCCTTGTCTCAAGCTCGTTTTTGCAGCCGATGAAGACAACGATGAACTTTCGGCTTGGGAAGAATCAATTCTCAAGATTTTTTCTGAGGGTTCCTTATTACAATACTTGTAGTATAGTATAGCTCGTTTTGGGCTACCTGCCATCATTAGGCACGGTAGCCTGTTCTTGCTTAGCCCTAGACCTTAAACCCCAAAAGACACCTGAGCCCGAATCTTGGCGGTAGTAAGTGCCAAGTTCATGATGTAAAATAGTGCTGCAGAAGATCTTTGAAAGGTTTGTTTGCAGAGAACCCATGTGAGCCTGTAACAGTTGGACAACGCCCCTAAACCCTAAGCTCTAGACCCCTAGCCTTAAGCCCTTAACCTTAAGCCCTAAACAACCAACAACCCTCAACCATAAACCCTGAACTAAACCCTAACCCTATAAAGGAACCTGGTAGGAGCCCAGAAGAGATGAGAACCGAGTATAAGAGACCTGGAAGAATGCTAACATTACGTGCCCCTAGAAACCTCCTAATCCAAACCCCCCAATCCAGATGTCAGGTTAGAGCGTCTGATACCTCCGCGCGCCTGATACCTCCCGGGCGGGATAGCGGGTTACCCGGCGTACATCCTGAATGCTAAGGACCCCTTCAAAAGTAGATGCCCAGGCCCAGAAAGCCCCAAAACCCCAAACCTTACATCCTAAACCGTAAACCCTAAAAAACCCTAAACCCCTAAACCCTAAACCCCTAAACCCTAAACCCCAAAATAGCTGGGACCTGAAACCTGGACTTTAACATCTGAGGTGTGAAAGGCCAGCCGCTCATCCTGGATGGCAAGATGCACTCCAAGGTGGCTTCGGAGTTTCTACAAACGGTGCGGGCACATGAGAGTCATCGTCATTGTCATCATCAGCATCAGCATCATCATCACCGTCGTCATCATCACCGGCCTCATCATTATCACCAGTATCATCATTATCACCATTATCACCATTATCATCATGATCATCATTATCATAGTTATCATCATTATCATCATTATCATCATCCTCACCGTCGCCATCATCACCGTCACCATCATCACCAGCATGTATCCTGAAACAAGCAATATCACCGGTAGCTGCGCAGGTCAAGCCAGACGACTGCATGTGGACGCTTGTGGACAACAAGATTGTGCGACGCCAAGCCTAATAAAGCAGCATGCAGTAATGTCGCATATAGGACCCGGCCAGGACCACTTACTGAAGGAGTGTAACTTACGTGGGATTGAGGATCGCTTTACATGGAACTATTGTCCCCACTTGCCTCTATCTCACCTGTTGAGGGTTGACATTGAGACACCAATGTATTGCGAGGGCCGAAATAATTACACACACTACTTTGGGAGTTCCTTATTATAATTTTAGTATAATGGGCTCCAAAACCCTATTCTAAGTATTAAGGCCCCCCGTATTACCCTTACCCCGGAGCTGCTGTGGTCTACGAGACGGCGATTGAGCGACCAAGAGGGCTAGAGGAAATGGGACGGGAGAAAGAACCTCTACAAACTACAAGAGCTTCTTCGACCAAAAGCCTGCAGACTGTGCTTCGGTCAAGTAGCAGCTGGACAACATGGCCGGACCGCCACGAGTAGAACTGAGTCAGAGACAAGGAAGGTCCTGAAAGGTTCAATGACCTTAAACCCTAAACCCCCAAACCCCTAAACCCTAAACTCTAAACCAATCCCTCCACGGCTGCCGCTCGCTGCTCGCCACAAGTCCTCTGCAGATGTGCTTGCTTCTGTATGAGTCAAGCCACATAGCAAACCCGAAATAAAGACTTGGGCATCTGTCCACTGCAGCTGTTTCCGTGGTGCTGGGGTTAGTGTTTAGGGTTAAAGCGTCTGATGCACTAATTTAGGGCCAGTTGTTTTAATGGCTCTAAAACCCCTAAACCCTAAACCCCTAAACCCCTAAACCCTAAACCCTAAACCCCTAAACCCTAAACCCTAAACCCTAAACCCCTTAACCCCTAAACCCTAAACCTGATTTTGGGGTCCTTATAATAAGGATCCTACTATTTGGGGTACTACATTAGGACCGAAGATGTACTCACGCCGCCAATTTCTTATGTATGCTGTGGCTATCAAGTTAGACTTCCAGTAATCTAGCTTCATAGCACCCAAGGCAGCTATATATATATATATATATATACATATATATATATATATATATATACATACCAGAATATGATCCCAAACCCGGTTGTATTTTGCCAAGATCCTTATAGTACTCACGGAAGCAGGTTGCAGTTGAAGGCGTGCATGTCGGGCTTGGCGATGTCAGCATTCAGGCTGATTATAGCAACTGGCTCGTACAAGAGTGGCATTCTTGGGAGTCCTTTTTAACGGGGTTTACGGTTTATGGTGTAGTGTTCAGGACATGCCTATAGTCTCCGTTGTAGTTCTTTTTCTGGTTTAACCAACTATCTAATTAGGATCCTATAAGGTAACCCCAAAAAGGAACTACAATGGAGACTGTAGGTCCGGTAACTTCTGAATTTATGAAGTGTCTGGGCCCATTCCGACTGGCTTAAAGGGAACTCCAGAAAGTTAGGATACGGATTAATGGTAGGATCCCCTATAATTTACCTTAAAGGGGTTACGATAATGATATTCCAACTTTCTGGCTTCTACTGTAAAGGGTTTTGGGGTTCTGAATCCTTACTTGGAGGTTCAGGGGTAGTTATAAGTGGGGTTATAAGTCCCCTAGTATGGTTTATAAGTCTAGTCACCCTACTTATAAGTACCCATGAACCTCCAAGTAGGGCCCTGAACCCTGTACCCTTATAGAACCCTTATAGATCCCTTTAAAGGGATTCTTAAAACTACCCACGAACCTCCAAGTAGACACTCAGAAGTCCTCACCAGACTGGGCTCTTCTTCTTACCTTCGGTTAGTAGGGAATGAAGGACTGGGGTACAAGTATAACTACTATTACTACAATTCTTCCATTCCCTAATAAACAAAGGTAAGTCTTAAGGGATGTAATTCAAGTTGCCATAATAAGGACACCGTATTATAAGGTATTCAGTTCAAGTTTCAGTTTAAGTTACCATAATAAGGAAATCATATGATATACTATAGGTCGCTATTATGGTAACCTAAATGACGCGTCTTAACAAAACCCCCAAAAAAGGTCCAGATCACCTTGGAGAAGTTTGACAACATGAAGCAGGGGGCCCCAGACACCTCCTTGTGAGGTTTCGACAGTCACAACACCTAACATAAGGGCCGAATAGGGTTTTGGTGTCTATTCCACTATAGTTTATAATAAGGACCCCCACCCCCCCCAAACAAAAACAAGAGAGTATAGGAAATTCTTAGGGCCCCTGTATTAGGTGGGGCCCCACGCCGCATCAGATGAACTTAGCGCGGCCAAGTCTCGTATGGAGGTAGCGCCGGTGCGATTTTCTCCTCATAACCTCTCCGCATGTATACTATAACGCAGCCCCCCTTCAACAAATGGCATGTCTTTACGACCCCGGTATCAAGCCCCATGGAAACCTTCTTCAGCACGACTTTGGGACCTTTCCGAAACTGAAATGAACAGCATTATTCCAAGTGCCCAGCCTTCTATACTTGAAGGATCATGGGACTTAATGAAGAGGGTTATAAATAAGGTTACTATACTTCTAAGATTGTAACGCCAGCTAAGGTACTTATAAGTTTAGTTGCTAAGTCCAATGATCCTCCAAGTAGTATTCAGAGTCAGGGGCGGGCCAGCTCCAATAGTGAAGAAGTTCAGCTGCACCTTAAACCCTAAACACAAAACCCTAAACTCTAAACCCTAAACCCCAACAAAAACCAAAACCCTAAACCCCAAACCCTAAACCCTAATTGCCACTGCTTGGCCAACCAGCGCCTTGGAGTCCGGGGGTTAGGTTTGTTTTTTAAGGTTAGGGTCCATTTGCGCTTAATTATGAGCCCCGTGTCTTTCTTTGCACCCGTGTAGACTGCAATACCCAAAGCCTTCTACGATATAGTTATGCTTCATGACGTGCACGAAGCATACATGTATGTTTAGTTAGATATTCTGAGTCAAAGCTATGACAACCCGACGCTTTAGGGAAGGCTATCGATGGAAACCCGAAACCCTAAACTTTAAGCGGTTTAGGCTTTCGGGCTTAGCACAAGTCTTGAGTAAGAATATCGAAGTCTGCATCCGTGTTCAAGGCATCACGGAATGAAGGCGTCAACTTCATTGTCAGCAGCACTTGATTGATTTAGGAAGTGCAGGTGTAGAGGTCCGTGCAGGTTTTTTGGGGTTTGGGGTTTGAGGTTTTGAGGGTTCAGTGGTTCTGCGGTTGAGATTTTGCAGAGTTTCGGTTTGATAGTAAGCGCATTGTATCTCGATCATGGAGCAGTCTTTATGCTGCTGGATGGCATACTGAGGTGGTGGAGTTGCGTCATGGAAGGTGACGCCGGCATTGACACGAAGAAGACGCCTGGATGCAATAGATCGTCACCGTTGTGCTGCTTCGGATTTTCGGGTTATGCCAAGCTTTAATGCTGCAGCGCAGAAGTGTGAGTGATGTGTAGTAGGATTCCTTTCTAATTAGCCCTTGTGCCACTATCGTACAGTATACCCCAAACCCCATTCCAGTTATTTTAGCCCTCCGCTAGGGGGTTTGTCGCCGTACAGAGGTCGGGTGAAGTAGCGCATGCATTCCAGTTTTGCTGGGTGCGGGAAGAGCTGTCTTCGGAGTCTTACCGTGCTTGGAGGGTCGGGGGACTTAGTAAGTAGGTAGTAAGTAGACTTATAAGTACCCTAAAAGGGACCCTAATTGGGGTTATGGTACCTATAAGTCCCTAAAATAACCAGTTACTAAGTCCCCCGACCCTCCAAGTGTGTCCTGTATCTTGCGGAGTGCCAGTGCCGTGCTTGATATCCGTCTCCGATGCATGCCAGCGTTTGCAAACGCTGATCTGACGAATAAGTCGCTGCGGCTTCTTCGGCAACAGTCGAAGAGTCTTCGTCTGCCCAGCCCCAAACCCCACAAAATGCTAAACCTCAAACCCCAAGCCCTAAACCCTAAACCCTAAGCCCTAAACCCTAAACCCTAAACCCAAACCCTAAACCCTAAAACCCAAATCTTAAATCTCATATAAACCCTAAGCCCCCGAATCCGAGGAGACTCTCCAAATTGGGGGCCGTTTTTGTATGTCGCATGCAGGGGCCCTTAAAAATTAGAATAGGTTTTGGGGGGGATGGTATACTATAGTTATCACGAGGAACCCCCCAAAAACCCCATTCTAATCATTACCGCCCCTACATTGCGCTGGTACAGCCCCCCTGCCACCCTCGACCTGAGGCTGCACGATCCTAAAACACTGGACCACTACCTACAGTAAACCCTAAACCCTAAACCCTAAACCCTAAACCCTAAACCCTAAACCCTAAACCCTAAACCCTAAACCCTAAAGCCTAAAGCCTATAAAATTAGAAACCGGATTACAGCCAAATAGGGTTTCCAACTTTCGGTCTTCTTCTGTACAAGACCGGACGCCGAAGAACCCACGGAGAACTCGTAGGATGTTTGATTCTGCGTTTCCCCATGCATTCCCTCAAGGGCGCAAGGATACTGATGTGATATAGGGGCCTTAATGATTAGAATAGGGTTTCTGGGGCCCACTATACTATAGTTATAATTTATAACAAGGAACTCTTGAAATAGTATTGGTAATTATTCAGGCCCAAGCCCCGGCACCAGGATCCGACACCCTCAAAATTCCTTAAACCTCGAAGAAAAAGTTTAGGGTTTCGGGCTTAGGGTTTAAGTTTACGACCCCAACAAAACCCATGTAGAAAGCAACAGGTTTAGGGTTTAGGGTTTAAGTTTAAGACCCCAACAAAAATCATATATAAACCCTAAACCCTAAACCCCTAAACCCTATCCAACGTACGGAAGCCTGGGCCCGAATTGGACGCTGCAGCCGTCAGGATCGTGCCAGAAAACTCCAAACTGTCGGACCTGGACGGCGAGACCAGCCGTTGCCTTAAAGTCGCCCGCTTTGGGTTGTAGGGCTTTTCATTTTCTGGTTCCGCTTAAGATTTGCAATGGACTGGGGTTGATTTTGAGGTTTAGAGTAGGAAGGTTTTCGGGTTTAGGTTGATCTTGAGGCTTATGGTCGACATGCAGGGTTTAGAATTTAGAGTGCAGGTTCTTATGGTTTGGCGTCCTATGGTCCTATGCTACTGTAAGTTCCCGACGCAATGGCAACAACGGTATATATCTTGCGATGGCGAATACGGCAGGAATTTATCCATCCGCCGGTTAAGTTGTCATGATCGCAAGCCTACATACGCGCAAAAGCCCATGTAAGTCTCTGTTCACCCCAAGCTTTCAAACCTGAATTACGAAGCCCAAGCTGTAGCAGCAGCACAAACCCAAGTAAGTGCTACCATAAACCCTAAGCTAAATCCTAAACCTAAATCCAATCCTAAACCCTAAACCTCGCGACCCAAAGGATGCCCCAAAACCCGAGATCCTAAGGCCACACGCCTCAATGCAAATGCCTGGTTGTGTTTAGGGTTTATATAGGGTTCAGGGTTTCTTTGAAGGGTTCTCTACATGGGCTACTATGACTGTGAGGGCTCTATATAGGAAGCCTATCTTTTCCAGCCTTTAGCCCCAAGCCATAACCCCCCCCCCCCCCCCCCCCCCCCCCCCCCAAATCTCAAGCGCTTCCGAAATCCAACTTGCCAAGGACCCTACGCCCGTGGTTTGGGTGTGTCGGAATTCGGCTTTAGGCTTTGGTCTTTAGTCTTTCGATGGGCGTGCAGAGGCTTCCAATCCGACTATGCGTGCGCCTTTTGATCTGACTCCTGGCTCCTCTCTTTTTGGATCATGCCATTGTTGGATTTCTCTGCTGCACCTGATCTCTGATGAAACTTCGGTGCTTGTCTCTTTCTGCATAAAACATGCCGAATGCGTAGACCATTTCAATGTTTCTTTCAGGTGCCTGTCCTAGAAGCTACTTGCTGCTTGTTCAGCTGCCTTTAAGCAAGTTCTCCTGCCCTAAACCTTAACCCGTCTGCGGAGGAATGACAGTTGAGAAGATGCGCATCCGGCCTGGTTCTGCCAAAGCTCAGTTTTGGAGCAGTACTGGGATTTTGTTGGAGAATGTACTTTAAGTTGCCATCATAAGGAACCCTACTACTCACAATAGGTCCCAATTGCGGTAACTTAGATTTAAATTGCGGAGCAAGAACATCACCATAATCATATCCACTTCCACTTTTTATCACATCCACTTCTAGTCCTAGTGACCCTAAATGCCAGCTTAACATTCTCACCCTAGAGCCCAACAACTACTGCTTCAGAATGACCAAAACAGACCCTAAACCCCTAAACCCTAAAGCCTTACTATTGCCCGTATCTAAGCCCTGAAGTGAAAAAGGCAATCATATCCACTTCCAGTCCTATTGCCTTAAATGTAACCTTAAGATTCTAACGAAAGTCTCTAACGAAAGTCTAACCGCGCAAGGCCAAGACCCACATCCGAGCCTGAAGGCCCGCAACAGGAAGCGAAGCCTGAAACCCGACCCTCTCTCAGAAACCCTCAGCCCTAAACTGTCTAAGTGTTTCGGGTCCAGGGTCTTAGGGTTTAGGGTTGGGGGCTTTGGGATTCGATGCTGCCAGGGTCTATATTATGGGTTCTATAGTGATCCGCGTTATGTGTTCCCAGTCCCCCCGCCTTGATGCATCCCTTCGCGCTCTTCAGTCCTTTCTCACTCCCATGTGAGGGAGAAGCACTCCACAGTGGGTGAGGATGGGATGTGCCAACCTTGCACATGCCCCCCGCTGCGACCTCCTGAACGCTTACCAACGGTTCCACAGACTACGGTAAACCCTATCCAATCCTTAAAGTAAAAGCCAGAAAGTTGGAATATGATTATCCTAAACCCTTTATGGTAAATTATAGGGTATCCTACCCTGAAACCATATTCCAACTTTCTGGAGTTCCCTTTAAACTTGAGGAAGCCCTGAGCACAAAATCCTCCATCCCCAAGATCTGAAAATTCTGAAACACTCAGTCCCAGAGTCTTCTTAGGGGTACTTAGAAATACTTTTCAGTTTTTGGTTGTCATAATCCCTAAGAAACAGCTAAAATTCTAATTTTTGCTAGGCTTCTAAGTTCAGTATAGGTACCTAAACCCTAAACCCTAAACCCCAAACCCTAAACACCGGTGTCTTCGGCTCATGAGCAGCACTTGCCAGGATGTACGACCAGAGACAAAAGGCCCTCGGAAAGCCAACTTCCGATCAGGACACCGGCAGTTAAAGGGAACTCCAGAAAGTTGGAATATGGTTTCAGGGTAGGATACCTTATAATCTACCATAAAGGGGTTAGGATAATCATATTCTAACTTTCTGGCTTTTACCTTAGGTTCATTGATTGCTACTGGGGATGAGTATGGCGGCGATGGCAAAGACGAGCGTCGAGAGATGATTGTGGTGATGATGATGGTGGTCATGTTACATTGCAGAGGTGACTGTACTGTTGATGGTCGTGATGATGATACCACCATTGACTCCGGTGTGGTTGAGTGCTGCTGGAGACGACGATGAAATTGACAACGACGCTGGTGATGTTGACACAGCTGCGCCGCCGCCGCCGACGACCCCGACCACAACCACAGCTACTAACTATTGGTGCCTTGTCTTGCATCCTTACTAGATATGCGTGGCACCGCCACCAGGAACCTGGCAGTTTGAAGACCGAATGCACTGCAGAAGCTTGAACCTCTCCACAAACCCAAAACATAGATCCAGCAATATGCCCTGCGAATTTTTGGGACAACCTAACCCAGCAAAGTTGTACAAACTGCAACATGGAATCGTGCCGTAAAACTGAAATCCGGCAGCGTGTCCCAAAACCGTACATCCGAGATTCCCAACCGGAACCCCCGGAAGCAGCAGTTCAAACCAAAAGCCAACCTCGAACACTATGTATGTGGATGGAGCATCTTGTGCCCTGAAACCCGAAACCCTACACCCAAGGACGATTGAATCCGATCCCCGAGCCCCGCCGACCCTCAAAAGTACCAAAACAAGAAAACCCTTAACCCTAAACTAGCCTACGGATATAAAGTAAAAGCCAGAAAGTTGGAATATGATTATCCTAAACCCTTTATGGTAAATTATAGGGTATCCTACCCTGAAACCATATTCCAACTTTCTGGAGTTCCCTTTAAGGTTTAGATTTAAGCTTGCATCCGAGTTCCCAGGAACAGGCCCTACGGTCGTACAGGTAAGACCCCGAAACCTCAAACCCTAAACGCTGCCCCATACACCCAAAATTAGGAGTTAGGATCCCGGGCTGATTGAGGTCCCGTTGAAGTGAGCCAGAAGTAGGGTTTTGAAGCACCCAAAACTAGGAGTTAGGATCCCGGGCTGATTGAGGTCCCTTTTAAAAGAGCCAGAAGTAGGGTTTTGAAGGGTACCGTTTACCAAAAACCGTTAGGAGAAGCAGCACGACCTGCTTGAGAAGTTCAAGGTCCTGCGTGCTTCCAGTGCTGCGGTTCAGGGTTTCGGGGTTTAGGTTAGGGTTTGGGGATTAGGTTTCAGGGTTTAGGGCCGTTTAGGGTTTAGGGTTTAAGTTGAGGTTTGGGGTTCAGGGTTTAGGGGTTCAGGGTTTTGGGTTTCAGGGTTTCAGGGTCTCAGGGTTTCAGGGTTGACGGTTTAGAGCCTCGGGTTTAGGGATTTGGGTTCATATGTTGCACCCCGAACCCTATTCTAAGGACTAGAGGCCCTCACAACTATTCCTGCCATTTTGATCTTTCGTTTAGGGTTTAAGGGCTTTAAAGGGTAGCAAGGAGTTATATCGGGCCTTCTTGGGCCTGGGTGTTCCAAAGGACTCCTCAGTTACAATCATGATCAGGGATTATCAGGCTTTACGGTTTAGAAATTTAGGGGTCCCGAGCCCTAGACTCTGAACCTTAAGCCTGGAACCCTGCAGCCTGTGCCAGGACAAGCAGTGGTTTAGGGTTTAGGGTCAGTGGGGTCTATATGGGGATCGCCTTATGGTTCCTGTCAGGGCCCCTTCTTGCAGAACTCTTGCATTGTAATAGTTAGATTTGCAGCGGCTCCGGGAAATAGCTTCCTGCAAACTAGGGGCAATATTGAGCTAAGCCTCCTGAAACCCTAAACCCTAAACCCTAAACCCTAAACCCTAAACCCTAAACCCTAAACCCTAAACCCTAAACCCTAAACCCTAAACCGGAACGTCTAGCGCGTCCGGCGCTGTCGAACGTCTTGCAGTTGGAAAACGGCGTGAAAGGCTAAGCTGGCAGCCCCTGAGCCTGCAACAACGGTTTAGGGTTTAGGGTTTAGGGTTTAGGGTTTAGGGTTTAGGGTTTAGGGTTTAGGGTTTAGGGCCATGAGATCCTTCTTCCTAGGATGCCCAGTAGTACCCTTATTCCCTTTTTGTAGTCCTAGGTTCGTTATAAAATTACCCAATACCAAAAAGAGAGGCCTTTTTATTCTTAGGTTACTGGGTATCCTAGCTTCTAGGGCCGCCTATATGGGTAGTTCTCGAAATTAGTATCGCCTTCTTTGGTTCAAAAAAACGGGAGCCTAGCTGCCTCTGGGTTGGAAGTAAGCCCAGAAACTCCAAATCCCTAAACCCTGGGGTTTAGGGCTTAGGGTTCAGGGTTTAAACCCCTAAAACTTAGAAGCTGCCCCCACCCTGTAATAGTGGTATAATGGGAATATAATAGGGCCCTAATATAATCCTATATAACCCTTATGGTCACTATTACAGGGTGGGGGCCCCTTCTAACCTAAACCTTAAATCCTGAACCTGCAAGCCGGAATTGAGCGCTTACTCTCTGAGCTAGCAGGCAGCGCACCCTGAGCTGGACTTTTCCAAGGCACAAATCTATAGGGTTCCTTAAAGGGATCTATAGGGTTCCTTAAAGGGATCTATGGGGTTTAGGGTTTAGGGCAGGGGGCCAGTGCCAATCCAGGTTCAGGGTTTACGGTTCATGGATTACAGCTGTAGTTTACTGCTTCTCGGCTCATGGCTAAAGTAATTAGGCCCAGATGCCCAAGACCTTCTTTGGCCAGGGAGCATTGCATAGAGTGTAAAGTGATCCTGAATACAAGTTATCGTGCTTGGAGGTTTGAACGGATACGCAACTTGGCATGGCAACGCGGGCATACGAGTCCCTAAACCCTAAACCCTAAACCCCTAAACCCCTAAGCCCTCAACCGTCGAATGCGTTCTAACAGGGGGTTCTAAAAGGGGGTTTGATCTACGCCGGTCGGAAGCTTCGCAACGCCGATCCCTAAGCTGCCACCGGAACCCGTAGTTGGGGTCCTTATAATTTGGATCCTACTATTTAGGGTACTATATCAGGGTCCTCTTTTCTCGCAAGCTCCCGCTAGTTCTTCGGAAGCCTAAACTTCTAAACTCTACATCTTGAAGCTTCAAAGCTGTTAGCTTTAAACTCTGGACACAAACACACCCTGAGCCCCTAAAGACCTAAAGCCCTAAAGGCCTACATAAACCCTGAACTTTAAGCCCTCAACTTCTGACGAGCCCGGACCAGAAAGTTTGGGGTACATTATACTATAACGGTATTAGGGAACACCCAACATAGTATTGGTAAGTGTCCCTATGCGATTCTCAGTGACGACTTTCAGCAAGGGCGAGGTTTCTAGCTGGGTCGATGAGGGCTCCCTGCTGAAGTACTACTGAAGGGTGGAGGGTTTTTCTTTCTGGCCGGCTGTAAGGTTGTCAGGAACTCCTGGCCCCCCGGGCCTTCTTGGGAGCTGGATTGGCGACTGGGAAAAAGGAGCTTAAACAAAAAAAAAACCCTAAACGTCCATGGCGCTGGGCTCCGGCGGCAACAGACCTTGGCTCGCAGTATTCTAGCCCGTTTAGGTTTTAGGGATTTAGGGTTCAGGGGTTAAGGGTTCAAGGGTTTAGGGGTTTTAGGGCTTAGAGGTTTAGGGTTTAGGGTAGTCATCCCGAAATCCAAACCCTGAACTCCAAATGCCGAACCCTAAACCCTCAACCCTGACCCCATCTCTTTGCCAAGGAGGCAGTGAAATGAGCCTTGTTTCCAAGCCGCCTTTTGTCATGGCGCTTAGTACCAGATGCCGTTTTGATGTTGTGTCGGAGCTCAGCACAGGCGAAGATCAACTACGGCGGCGGTGGCGGCGGCGGCTTCAACATGTAAGGACCTGGAGGGTAGGGGTTAGGGTTAAGGAGCACCTCGTGTTCACATGGTTAAGCCCCTCATATTGCATCCAGAACCCACCAAAACCCAACAGATTCTTTGCTCCATGGCTATTGCGAAACACGGACTGAGCCTGACAAAACCCAAGAGCCCGAACCCCGAACCTCGAAAAAACGCCAAAGTTTGTCCCATTCGGACGATCCAGGTTTATGCAGGGCTTTTGCAGAAGGCCCCAGGAGGCCGGAGAGGCATCAGGGTCATAGTATTATAGAAGGCATCATACTCGTACTATAATCATACTAGTAATCATCAATCAGAGTATAACCATAGGAGTAATCATCATAGTATATTCATAAGAGTAGTCGTAGTATAATCGTAATCGTGGTAATCAGAATGGTAATCATCATAATAGGAATCACAATGGCCGTAAGGCCCCTTTGAGGTTCGGTTCAGTGCGTAGGGCATCCACGGGCTCTAACCCCTCGTGGCAGCTCTTGGCTCTTCTTCACCCCGAAGACCTTCTTTGGTATTGTAGGATTATATATATATATATGTATATATATATATATAAGTACCTTATCGGGGATAATAAGTAGTTATAACTGTGTTATACCTGTGGTTGCCTTACTTATAACTTATAACCCTACTTACACTAAGTCCCATGATCCTCTACAAGCCTGAATAATTACCGTCACAATCCCGTCGGGTTTCTGATCATAACTGCACTATCGAGGAGACCAAAACCCCACTCTCATGAGTACGGCCGCGTTACAACTGAAATCCCAAACCGTGGCGGCTAGCATAATAGGCATCATAGCGCCAGTCATGGTGACAATCATACGCCCGGCTCTACAACTTGTGACCCGACGTGCCACCTACAGCCTGTCAAAACAAACAAGCTCGCCGCGGTTTTTGGGCTCTGGGTCGCGGCGCGCGGTGGCGCGAGCAGCAGGAGCAGCGCGCTTAGCTTTCAGGATGTCGTGTGTTTGGGATTCAGAGTTTGAGGGCTTAGTCATGGGTCGTTGGGTTCAGAAGCCCGAGCCCTCAAGCCTTAACCAAGCCCCTCTGTAGGGTTCAGGGTAGAGGCTTTAGGGTTTAGGTTTCGGGATATGAAGGTTTAGGTTTTAGAAGGCTGCCAACGTGCAAGACCATCCTCACAGCTTACTCCTTGCGGAGGTTGATCCGCGAGTTGCATAGGGCTGTTTGGGTTCGGGTTTGAGGGGTTGAGGGTTTGCTGTTTAGGGGTTAGGGTTTGGGGGGTGTAGGGTTTAATGATAAATTGGGGTTGGGGCCAAGTTCGGGGTCTTAAAACTGTTTGGTGCACGGTGCTCGGTTGTTTTCAATTCCTTCGCCCTGGGTCCTACATCTTGAACCCTATAACCGTAACCCCGAAGCCCTCGACTCTACAATAAGCCCGAAACCCTCACCCACCCTGAGACCCAAACCCTAAATCCTAAGAATTTAAAATCCTAAATCGCTTTAAGCTCCTGGATCTTCAGCCGCAAAAGCACCAAGTACTGCGAGGGGCCGTGCCCAAAACCGTGCAAGTAGTTCTTCTGAGTCCCTGTGGCCATGACGATGCTGGCACTTTGCCCGAAATGCCAAGCATTCCACCGGCACCTGAAACTCACCTGAACTCGCGATCCAGCAGCCAACATCAACGTCCTTGCATCCCAAGTCACACCCACAGCTGGTGGTCCTAGCTTTATCCCACAATCGCCCGAAAACAGCAAACCCCTAAACCCGAACTCCCTGAACCACACATCCTATGTGGGTGGTTGTCAAAAGTAGGGTCCCTTTTTGGGTACCCTAAATAACAGGTGCCGCATGAAATGGGGACCCAAAAAGGGACCCTAGTTTCGACAGCCACCCATGTGCGAGCCCCACCCAGAGACTCCAATATCCCTTAATCAAGGAATATACCTAAATCATATTAAGGATCCTACTATGATTTATGGTATATTCCTTAATTAAGGGATATTGGAGTCTCTGGGCACCTTGCCTGTGAACGAAGGCGGTTCTGCCTAAACATGGAGGCCGTGAAGGTGCAGAGCTTGGCGATGGGCTTTGGGTAATCTATAGTAGGGCCCCAACAAAGCACATAAGCAAAACTAAGGATAGGGATATCCCCAAAACGGCCCCCCTATAATGAAGCCCAATAAGGCAGGGATGTCCCCATAAAATGCTTATGCTTATGTTCTTTTTGTGGTCCCTATATAGAGGTCGGAATGATCACTTTGAACTGTCTCCCCTTATGGTCCACTTTCTAGAGGACCCTAGATCCTAAACCATAAGCCCTACACCCTAAACCCTAAGCCCTACACCCTAAACCCTAAACCCTAAACCCTAAACCCTAAACCCCAAACCACAAAACCCCATTCGATTTACCGAGGCTCCGGCGTGATGGGGCTAAGGGGTTTCGTTCTCCATGGCTCGGCTTTGGGTCAGGGGAGTCCCGGGCTTCGCCTACTTTAGGAGATAGTTAGGGTTTAGGGCTTAGGGCTTAAGGGTTTAGGGTTTAGGGTTTAGGGTTTAGGGTTTAAGGGTTTAGGGCTTAGGGTTTAGGGCTTAGGGTTTAAGGGTTTAGTGCGATTTATTTCTGGATTCCCTGCCTCGGTAGCGAACAGAGTTGCAGGGGAAGTTCGAGCAACTACCTTCGGCGTAAGGCAGGATCCCACTAGCGAGCCTTATCCGGTCTAATCCCGTGTCACTCTAAGTTGCTTCACCTTTGATCATCGGGATAGGACGCGCGAATGTGCAAGTCTAGACGTCAAGCTTTGCAGGTTCAGGTTAGGTTTGTTGCCCTTGAGACCACAACGGAGAGGGGAAGCCTGACACTGACATTGTCCGGGGTGAGATGCCGATTGAGCGTTCAGATATCTACATCTATACCTGTGTCTCAATCCATACCTATATGCTTTCAGTGTCTAAATCTTTATCCGTGTCTATATTACCGATATCTCTATCTCTATCTGCATATCCATTTCCAGCTCTATCTCTGTGTCTCCATTTTGTACCCTTTTTCCCTGCCTCTGTCTCGATCTCTATCTTGATCTGTTTCTCTCCTTCTCTATCTGTGTCTCCGCCTCTACCTTTGTATCTCTATCTCTACCTCTGTCTCTGTCACTATCTCTATCTCTGTAGCAGTCTACATCTCTATACCTGTGTCAACATCTATATCTGTATCTATATCTATGTCGATTTCTATATCTATCTCTACATCTGATCTGTGTCTATATGTATATCTGTATCTACAATATCTACATCTATAATATATGCATCTATAATACCTGTATCTATGCCTTTGTTGTTTATATCTGTATATCTATATCTATACCTTTGTCTGTGTACAGGCATACATGCATAGCTATGTACACACACATATATATATATATGCCTATGTCTACATGTATATATATATATATACATATATATATATATATATATATGTATGTGTATATATATATATATACATATATATATATATATATATACACACATTCATATACACGTACATATACATATACATATACATCTGTATATGTATGTATGAATGTGTGCGGGTGTTTGGGCCCGAAGCCCTCAACTCCGAAACCCTAAACCGCGGAAGCCCGAGCACCAAACTTCGCTAAGATAGATGGCTTACAGTAGAAGCCAGAAAGTTGGAACATGGCTTTAGGAGGATTAGTGCTAGGATCCCATATACTTTACCTTAAGGGCATGAGGAGTCTGATGTTCCAACTTTCTGGCTTCTACTATATCCTGTTCGATACAGGATCCCCGTTAATGTCCCTGTTATGGTCAGAGAAGAATCTATCCTAAGAATTACTCTGATCCATCAGGGCCCTGTATTAAGCTCAGAGCCCTAAACTCTTGAACTCTAAACCCCCGAACCCCAAGGCTCTGGGCCTGGATTGTTGCGCACAGCCTTGTGTAGTTTTTTCTAAATACTGTTACGGGCCAGCTTCGTACCGGGGACCCTGCTGAAGACCGGAACCAGTAGGACCCGTCATACGCGTGCACACCCAAGGCCGTGGTTCTGAATTGGGGCACGTGTCAACGCCTGGGCAACCGGCCGGAAGCAGCCTCACACTCCGACAGAAGCCGTTAACGCACCAGGGTTTAGGGCTTGGGGTTCAAAAAGCCGTTAATGCAGCAACTTCAAGACGCCCTAAACCCGTTGAGCAAACCGTTATAGCCCCAAGTTTAAGGACCTCCATGACCCAACCCCGAAACCCTGAAACCTAAACCCTGAACCCTAAAATCCTAAACCCAAAACCCTAAACCGTGAAACCTGAACCCCAAGGACGGTTCAGAAACCTGGAAGCGGATTGCGAGACCTACCTCTGGCGAGACGCTGGGCTGTTTGCCAACTAGAGCTTTGGGTTTAAACGGGGAGTCTATGGTAATAGGGCCTATAGGGTCGAGTGTTTAGGGTTTAGGGTCGAGGGTTCAGAGTTTAGGGTCGAGGGTTCAGGGTTTAGAGCTTGGTGTGCTTTGTGTTTGGGGTGAGGTTGCACTTGTGTAAGGAGGTGTTAGTTAGAGCTTTGAGAGTGAGCCTTGGTATGATTTGAGATGGATTCCTGGATTTTTTGTTTCTGGCTTTCGGTTTGGGATCGGGGGCTTCGGGCTTCATGGTTTTAGCGCGTGCAGCACAAGTTTTGCGGGCTTGGCGGTCGCTTCGGGTTTGGGGTTCTAGGTTTCAGGGCTGAGGCTTAGGGCTTTTGGGGCTTGGGGTTGAGGTTTGTAGGGTTGACCGTCAAGGTTTTGAGGTTCAGGGTAAAGGGCATGCACAATTGCTTTTGTACAGCTTTCATCAGGCCCTGTTCTCTCAAAATGCAAGTCTTCCCCAACCTCGACCTCCAATGTGTAGCAACTTCGATAGAGATTTAAAGTAGCTAAATAATTAGCAAAAGATGTAGGAACTAGCAATGCCCAACCCTGACCCCTAACCTCTAGCCCTAAACCGTAACCTAAGCCCTACACCCTAGGCCCTAGCC